TTGCTGAACACCTTGCACACAGTAAGCCCTCAGTAGGTGTGGCCTGGGTGATGGAGCACTGCTCTCCCCGCAGGTGCTGGGAGCAGAGGAGAATGCATCCCTGTACACACAGCCACAAATGTGAGAAATGCAGGACCAAGTCCAGGCAGGCACCAGGCTTCTGCAGAGGGTTTCCAGGCCGAGGGCAGGAGGCCCCGGGGCAGCCTGTGGTCAGTGGAGGTGTGGCTGGAGGGGGTTATTCGCTGGCGCCAGGGTGTGTTTGGGGTTGGGGGCGGGAGTGGAGGGGGATTGTCTGGGACACTTAGATGCAATCTCGGGCTCTGCCCAGGCATGTCCTGTGTGTTGTGTTTGCCTTTGAGGACATCTCCCTTTAAGTCTGTCTTGCTTTGAATGGGAGTGGAGGGGAGAGAAGGGGGCCTGGCTGCCCTCTAAGGGCCAAAGTTTTTCTTTTCAACTTGATTTATTTATGAGGTAGGGACAGACACAGTTCCTGTCTTCCGCTTCACTTTCCAAATACCTACAACAGGGAGCCAGTGTGATGGCCCAACTGACTTGATTGCTCTGCCTGCAAGTGCCAGAATCCCAAATGGGTGCAGGTTCCTCCACTTCCCATCCAGCTCCCTGCTTATGGCCTAGGAAAGCAGTAGAGGATGGCTCAAAGCCTTGGGACCCTGCATCCATGTGGGAGACCCAGAAGAAACTCCTGGGTTCCGGCTTTAGACTGGTTCGGCTCTGGTTGTTGTGGCCATTTGGGCAGTGAATCCGCAGACAGAAGATCTTTTTCTCTCCTTCTCACTACAAAATGTGCCTTTCCAATACAAATTAATAAATCTAATCTTTAAAATAAAAAAAAAATACCTGCAATACACAGGACTGGGCCAAGCTGAAGGTGGGAGAGCTGGGAACTCAAGTTGGATTCCCCAGTTGGGTGGCAGGTACCCTCTGCCCTTCGTCATCTTGGCTGCTTCCCAATATGACTTTCACAGGAAGCAGTGTACAGCTGGAGCCCTTGCGCTCTGACTGGGGATGCGGGTGGTCCCAGCTGGTGCCCTAACTGCTGCCCCAGCCATTTGCCTGTTCAGGTTTGTATAGACCAAGTCAAGTCACTGTTGGATCAGCCTTGGAACATTCCCCACAATGTCTGGCTCTACTGGTGGGACCAGGCAATCCCACCTCCCAGCCATTCCAGCCACTCTGTGCTACTTCCCCAGACCTGTCTAACAGGCGTCAAACAGACCCAGCTGCCACCAGTCTGGGCTTTCTGCTTTGAGAGTGAGCCCTGGCTATTCAAAGTTGTGTTGCTGACTCAAAGCAGCTAGCTGTTGGGGATGGTTTGGAGATCGTGGGTTTGTGGAACAGAAATGTGAGTGCTGAAGTCCACTTGGAGAGACTCCGAGGGTCCTTGAGGGTCCCAATTTCCTCCTCTGTAGAAGGAAAGGAATGGGTGGTAAATGTGCACCCCCGCCCCAGTCCAGCTCCAAAGCCCTGAGGTTCTGTGCCTGGGTGTGTCCCAGGTGGTCATCTGTGTTGGCTCGACATGTTGTACCTGGGTGTGATGCACGGAAGCCAGCCTCAGGGAATAGTTATTTGTGAGCAGATCTGCTGCAGAGTCTACTAATGTGTCCCCCCTTCCCCATGACAAGGGGGGTGGACAGAGCTTCCCGTCTCAAAAGCCTTTTAGCTCCAACACTTCCCACCCTGAGCCTTAGCTCAGTGCCTTCTCAGATGGGTTCCGCCCGAGGTGTCGATCCACTTTCTCCACCCTTCTGATGGACACTCTGGAGCTGAGTCAGATGTATCTGCCTGGGGCAGTGTAGTTCTGTTGTTGGGATCTGCTCCCCAGCACGTGTGATCTGCAAGCCCCAGTTCTGTAATGGAAGACTCTCTTGACATTGGAGAGCACCTCTCCTTGTTGGGACCTACACGGTGACTTATCACCCTCGGCCTTGGCTGCTGCTAAGACAGAACTGTGAGATTTGGAGGCTGGGAGGAGATAGCAAAGCCAGGGTGGGCACGAAGAGCCACAGTGAGCTGGGGCAGCCCTGGGCCTTTGTCACCGCCCCATACGCACACACACACACACACTCACACTTCTTGAGTTTCCCTGTCGATCAGGCCTGTGGCATTGCCATGCAACCTGGGACATGGCAGGGAGTGTCTGAGGAGGTGGTGGGTGGGAGGGCACAGGTGGCCTAGGACTGGTTGGGTTGGCAGGGGCACAGAACCCTGGCAGGAGGGAGCCTCAGCTGGAAGCAGCTGTATCTCCCTGCCCATGGCTGCTTTAGGGAAGAGTCTGGAGCCCAGAGCCATGGAGTGGGTGAGGCTAAACCCTGGCAGGGAGGGGTGCTGTGGCAGCACTAAGTGGTCAGCGCCAGCCTGGCTCTTCCTAAGTATTCTTCCTTGTCTGTTTGCAATTCTCCTACCTTCCTGCCCGTAGGGGCTCTTTGCTGTCTTGGGTGCAATTGCCCCCCAATAAGCCAGAAACTTTTGTTTGGGTGCCTTGGGAAGTCTGTGCCCTCAGACAGAAAGGAATGCTAATTGGCCTCTTAACTGTCCCTAAGATTGCCATGGCCAGGGTCTGCAAGGGACACTCCTTCTTTGTGGCCCTTCCAAGTAGAAGCTGCTTACAAATAGGCTGTCAAGCTGGAGCGGGAGCAGCAGGGTCTGCTGCAAGAGGGACTGCTGTTCGCATTTGCCACATTCCCCACTGCACGTGCTCCATCTGTATGCTCCTTAAAGAAGCTTCTTCTAGAAGGAAGCTGTTTTCTGCCCAAATCTCTTTATTTCTGCTCAACTCCGAAGACCTCTTTGTGAAACTAGGAGATCAGGGTGGGTGGTGGTGGGGGGACACGGCTAGGATGTTAGAATGTGGCATCCTAGCCGGCTTGTGTGGCCCAAGCCGGGCGCTGCTGTTCATTTTAACTGACTCGGAGCTGCCTTGCTCACCCCTCCCCAACCCCCTACCAACTTGCTCTCCACCCTGACATTGTGTTATCTCTCTTGCCAGTGACTCATAAGTAAGGAAGTCAAAACTGTGCAATTAGCCTAGAAACCTCCCTCAATGCCCTCTTCACCTCTCCACCCCCAGAGCCCCCAGTCACGCATGCCCGCCTGACTTTTTTTTTTTTCTCGGAGTCTTTGGAAACTTAAGATTTATTTTGGGTCAGAGCAAGGCAACCTGTTCACCCACATCACTGGATTCCACTTGCTTTACTCTGAAAGACTGAGAATCTTCTCTGGGGAAGGAAGGGGGTGGAAAAAAGAAAGAAAGAAAGATAAGCCCATCCCCCCCCCCCCCGAGGTGTGCCGTCTGCGCCCTCTCCCTCCCCCCCACGGGAAGTGATTCATGGAGCTGCTCTGGTCCACGGTCCACAGTCCACGCAGCAGAGACCATGCAGCAGGCGGCAGGGAGCCTGGGAACCGGGGCTGGGAAAGCCAGCAGACAGCAGCGCTGTAGACCTTGCTGGTTTCTGCCTTGTGGAAGAAAGTGAAAAACAGAATGACTAAGAGCCCTGTAATAAGAGTTGTTTGTTTTGCGAAGTGAGCTAATATTGAAGCTTGCTGGCAGATAAGGCATGTGAAATTGCAGTTGTCAGCAGAGGTGACTTGACCAGGGTGGGGGTGGGGAGCCTGCCTTTTTGATGTGTAGAAAGGCCTGGCTCCTTCTTAGCCCCTAGGCAGGAAGCAGGGGAAAGGCCGGGATGGAGATTGCGGTCCTACCTGGCCCTCCGGCTAGGGCCTGTTTTCACTGCAAGGGATCCCTGGTGAGAACCTGGTCTGTAACAGGCTCCAGGAGCTGGCCCTTTGTCTTTTATTCCACCTTTCCTTCCAAAGTGAGATTTTTTTTGGTTTCTGATTTTTAAAATATATTTCATTGGAAAGGCAGAGTTGACAGAGGAAAGGGAGAGAAAGATGGAGCTTCCATCCTCTGGCTTACTCCCCCAGTGCCTCCGACAGCCAGCGGTAGGCCAGGCTGAAGCCAGAAGCTGTGAGCTTCATCTGGGTCTCCCACATGAGTGGTAAGAACTTGAATACTTGGACCAGCACCAGCTGCCTCCCTGGTTGTCTGGAGCAGCCGGGACTTGAACCAGTAGTGCTTGTCAGAAGTTTGAGGCTGGTGCTTCTGGGGTTTCCCAGAGAATCCTGTGTTGTCCCTGACCAGGGACAGACACCCTGTCTGGCCTAGCACTTGGGAGTTTTCTGCAACCTGACAAAGCAGATTCACCTGCTTTCCAAGAGCAGTTTGGACAGAGAAGCTCAGACGCTTTGGCTGCGTCAAGGCCATGCAGCCAAGCCGGAGGCCTGAATCCTCCCGGGTGGAGGTGGGATAAGGTCCATGTGACTCCAGGTCCATGTTTTTCTGAGCTTGCAGGGGAGGCAGGTGCTTTCCCGTATGCCCTAGGATGCAGCCGGGCACCACCAATACCCTGCATGTTGCTTAGAGAAACTGAGATCGTCTTCAAGCTGAGTACCACCTGGAAGAGTATAGCAGTTCACTAGAAAGTGCTGTGCAGCCTGGTGGCTTTTGCCACTCTTCCAGTAAGCACAGAGTGATCCAGGTCCTTGGGACATCCTCCATCTGTGACTTGAATTGCTTTGGGGTGCTGACAGCCCCGAAGAATCGATGCCATCAATGAGGAAGGCAGGGAGGTGTGCGAAAATCAAACCTATACAGTGTGGGAAGGCTCCCAGGAGACATCCTCCTCCTCCAAGACTTAACCACCTTTTCTATGTGGGGACAGGGATTATCCCAGCAAGAAGATGATCTCTGCTGATTTTCTGGCCCAAAGTTCACTTCTTGCCCTCTTGGATGACTGTCCAAGCTGCCTGCTACCCTGTAACATTTGCATCCATAGAATGGGCCAGCAAGCTCAGCCCCATGGCATGATGTGTATACCCAGTGAGATGTGTGAGATTCTTGGTTTCTCACCTGTGCCCTTGCTTCCAAGGCCATTGCTTAACCCAGCAGTTCTTGAGGGAGGTGGGAGGGAGGCCATGAGTACTACTGGCCTGTAGGAGGGAGGAGGGCAGGAAGGCTGTGTGTGAATCATGCTGCTGTACCTAGGGCAGCCCCCACCCCCACCCCTGCTCAAGAGCACTGGCATTGAGAGACTGTCAGAAGCCACCATCCAGCAGTCTGGGCTTTGCAGAGAGCTGAATGGTCTCTGCTAATCCAGGCATTTCCTTTCTAGAAAGTTCGCTGTTGTGGTGCCTGCCCTGGGCTTTGGGAAGCAGGTTGCCCCTTGCCCTGTCTTGGTCCGGTGGCACAAGGCTATGGCTTCCGAGCTTCCTTCTCTGAGGGTCTGTCCAGAAAGAGGGTCCTGTGTGACCTCCAGGACCTGCCAACAAGGCCGCATCATCTGCCCAGGAATACTTGTTGAGCTCCTGAGCTGACTGCTGTGGAGGAGGAGCAGGGACCAGCGCAGTGAGGGAGACAGCAGCTGCCCCAAGCTTGGATCCCCGCCTGCCCACACACTCAGCCAGCAGCCCTGAAGCCTGAGGCCGAAGAGAGAGAATCCATTTGCAAGTTCCAAGGGTGGTCAGGTTGTTCAGCAAATGGAGTGGCAAAGCACTCTCAAAGCCACGTGTTCCTGAGGCAGGCCATACTGTGAAATCTCAGTTATCTGGATTATACCACAGACCTTGCTCACTAGACTTCTCTGTCTCACCCAAGGCAGGAACAGGCTAACACTGGTAATAGAGCTCAATTCAACACCAACAAGCTCAGGAAAATTAGTTGGAAGCACCTGGCTGTTGTACAATCTGGTTGTACCCATGACTTGGTCTTGCTTGTGACTCTGTATTTTGCTATCATTTCCAACTTCAGAAAGTTTTTGCAACCACAGAACAGAGATAGAGTGATTTATCTTTCAGCCAAGGTCACCCACCTGTTGCTCAGTACTTTAAAAACAAAACAAAACAAAACATAAACAAAAAAAACAAAAAAACAGGAGAAATATTGGCTATCACCGAGGTGAGACTTGTAAGGCAATGCAAAAGAGGAAAAAAAAAAAAGGTATTTTGTTTTCAAACTTACCTTGGTGGAAAAAATGGACTTACACAGATGTGTCAACCTGGGTTCCTGGATGCAATCCAGGAGGCTGCTTTCTCATGCTGTTGCTTTTTGCTGGGTGGCTTGTGATTCTTGCAGTAGAGTTTGTGTTTTTAGCCATACAATGACAGGATTGGATGTTCCTGTGGGTCCTCAGTTACCAGCTGATCCAGTGGGATTGAAGCTGGACCTAGCCTTAGCCTTAGTGTCACCTCATCAGGATTCTTAACAGTGGGCCTCTATGGCTGGCCACATGGGTCTTAGCCCTCTAGTTCTGGCTTAGCTAAGCCTGGGGTCTGAGCCCTCTCCACTTCACCCAGGACAAAGGGGATGCTCCAGGTTTGACTGTGCTCACCAAAGGAGAAGGATGTGGGGGCTGGAGGATCAGTGCTGCTATTGATAGCTGTGATTTGAAGAACATCATGTGTGCTACAGTGTGTGGTAGTTGTCCTGTGGCTGTCCATGGTGTGGATGATGTACAGTCTTGCTTTGGTATCTGCACAGTAAGAAGCAGCAGAGGAATCTCAGGTGGGCCTGCTTGTAGTTCAGAAGCAATGAGGAAGCAGCATAACAGGCCTTAAAAAAAAAAAAAAGACTTATTCTATTGGAAAGGTAGATTTACAGAGAGAAGGAGAGACAGAAAGAGAGATCTTCCGTCCGCTGGTTCACTCCCCAAGTGACAGCACCAGCCAAAGCTAAGCTCATCCAAACCCAGTAACTTCTTCCAGGTCTCCCATGTGGGTACAGGGTCCCAAGGCTTTAGGTCAACCTCTGCTGCCTTCCCAGGCCACAAGCAGTTAACTAGGTAAGAAGTGGAGTAGCCAGGATATGAACTGGTGCCCATATGGGGCACCAGTGCTTACAGGTGCCGGAATAGCCAGTTGAGCTATCATGAGAGGCCTTTTACACACAGCAAAAGGTTCCCTGTCTTCCTAGAAGTGTGAGGAGTGAGTACCTCCCCCAGCCTGAAACCACTCAGCCCAGCTTTTATTTTGAATGTGAAAAAGGGAGGTGGGGGTGAAATGAAACTCACTTGTAATGTGGAAACTCAGGTGGAGTATTCAGATTTGGCTGCAGGTAAGAGAAGGTGAGGGGCCTTAGTAGCGCAGTTGGCTGTTGTGACAGCCAGAGGTAGGAGGTGTGGCAAGCATGGGAACCGTGGCTGGCCAGGGGGGCTGTCTACCACCATGTGTGTGTTCAGGAAGTGTGTAGACGACTGTGGGTTCACGGCGCAAACTGGAAACCACAAAGTTGGAAACAACCCTGTTTCTTACACTGAAATGTAACAACTGTTAGGGGGAAAAATGGGAAGATTCAGGATAAGGAAATTGAGACAATTGTGGGCGCTAGAGGCTGGGTGTTTGAGTTATTCATGGGCCACATGGATCCATAGGAGATGAGTGCTTGGTATAAAGTGACATCGTAGGCAAGCTGACTTTGGAAGCTGGTTTGCCAAAGGCCTGAGATGGTGAGGTCTTGTCCAGGGTGTATCTTCAGAGGGTTGGGGAACAGAGTGTGAGTCTCACAGCCCAGAGTCCAGCCTCCCTAATCATGAGGCTAATGAAATCGGAAGATGCTATTTTGGTGCAAAAGAAAAGAATGAAGTCCATGCGTATGAGAATGTCTTTAAAATGTTCGGAGACCATGTATCTTATTTAGGAAAAAAAAAAAAAGATTTTACAGGTTTTGAAACAGAATAAACTTCCTATGTACTTTTTGAAGCTTTCTGTATTAACTCTGAGGCCTTGGGGAGTGGGGCCACCTCCTAGGCGCTGTGTTTGTCAGTCTGTTGAGGAGGGAGATACGTGTTTTGGAAGACTGGTGGTGGAGTCAGTGTGTTCATCAGCTGGTGCTGTGTAACAAATCACTCCCAAATCCAGCAGCTTCCAGTCCAGTTTGTGGCTCTCCTGGGCTTGGCCCCTGTTTAACCCTGCTTCCCATCTATTCATCCCTGGGTCCAGGCTGTAGTCGGGCAGCAGCTGCTGGGCAGGGTGTCCTCTGGTGATGGCAGAGGCACAAGAAGGCAGGCGGAAGTGCGCAGTGGCACCCTCTGCTTTGTGCTCACATGCCAATGGCTAGAGATCAACAGCTCCCTAGTCCCAAAGCTGAGGAAGAAGTAAAGTCCACTGCCCTTAAGGTGGAGGGCAGACAGTGTCATTGGAGCAGAGGGCATGGATCCAGAGTGGTGGGATGCATCCACCAAGGGGTGGGTGCACATGATATCCAGGCAAGTCACGTGTGTGTGTTTTGTTTTTGCCGGTGATGACTGTGTTTTGTGTTTTCTGCCTGGAATGCGGTCATTGGGCAGTGTTTGGTGATCAATCGAAGGCCAGTTTTTCTGAGATACCACATTGGATCACAAAAATATCTTCACACCCTCCTCCTTGCCCCATTTTTCTACACTGGTGTGGGTCTCAGTGTGACTCTATGCTTCCCTGGTCTTCCAGCCTTGGATTTGCCCCTCAAGTTCTCTGAGCCAGATAGGGGCTTGTCATGCAATTCCTTTCTGGAACTTGGGTGCTGTGTTTCTATCGGTCTTGCCCACGCACCTAATCCCCACCCCAGATGGCTCTGGGCAGCTGGTCCATGACAAAGGGGCTCGGAGCAGAGTTTGCTCTCAGGAGGTCCCTAGCCCTGCTCTCATGCCTTGGGGAGTGTCCTGGCAGACTCCACCCTCACAATTAGTTCTGGGCTGGGGCATGAACACTTCCTTGGCCAGCGCTACCATCACCATTTTGGGATACTACGCTGGTCCTCCTTGTAGCCAAGGGGAGGAAACCTCATTTCCTGCGGCAGGAAATTGTTTGGCTTAGGGAAGAATATGTTTACAGATTAAAACCTTCTGTCCAAGGAACTGGAGGGAGTTGCTGCTGGGAGAACCTTTTGGAAGGGGGTGGGTCTCAGCAAGAAGCCTCTGGGTGTGGGTCACACATCGGGAGGGAGTGGCCGCAGAGGCAGGCCCTGAGGGCCTACCCTTTAGCAGCCACAGCTGGTCTCGGGCTAAGACGAAGGGCTGGGTTGGAGGAGCGTGAGGCATAAATAGATTCATTTCTGCAACCAAGCATGGTTATGGTAACATCAGTTTGGGATTAAGACCTATTTATTGGATTTACTTAATGGGCTCTGGGCCCTGCCAGGCTGGAGAGGGTGTGTCATACACATCAGCTATATTCAGTCCAGCCACTGGGACTCCCAGTTCAGTGCTAGTTGTTGGGCAAGCCATGGTGTGTGTTTTTGAGCTGGATAGAGAAAAGGAACGGAGCAGTGTATGCCAGGGCTCTGGGCAGCCCAAGACTCCCAGCCCAGCTTGAGGATTAGCTGCTGATGGGTTAGAAGTGAGTGACACACCCTCTTTGTTATGAGTTTAGGGAGTGCAACCCAGAAGTAGAAGCAGGGACTTGTAGACAATTCTTTCAAGTCAGACTGGTGGCCACGTGTCCATGAGCTAGAAAGTAAGAGCATTCAGGTCCGCTGTTTGCGGGCCTCAGCCTGGTTTCCCAGAGAGCCAGCCTGGCCCGCGGATCTGGTGTGGAGTGTCTGTGGTCTGAGGATATGGGTTTTGTGGTCGTGCTTAGGGGCCATGCCAGGGCTTGATCTTGGACCCATGCAGGGTCTAAGGGCTGGACATGATCCAAGACAAGGGACACACAGGAGCCTGGTGAGCCAGGAGCAGCACCCAGTGATCTTACCCTGCCCTTCAAAACATGGGCAGGGGCTGATGTTGCTGAGCACCTACGGGGTGCCTGCCCTTGCCAGGTGCCATCAGGGTGACAAGAGAAGCAGAGACACATGACGTGTCCTCCGTGCAGTCCAGTTGTAGTTCACATAAGAATACTAGCCCTGGGACATCAAATGACCTCCCCAAATGTACATGGTTAGCAAGCACAGAGTTAGCATGCCAGCCAGGGTTTGTCCAAGTTGAAATCTCTGGGGGTGATGGTGGTGTAATTTACAATGGGCTGTAAGTGTGCAACCTGATGGATTTTGACATGTGTAAACCTGCGATGTCACCACCACCATCAAAGATGATAAACCCCACTGTAGCCCCTCGCAACATTCCCATGCCCCTAGGAGATGCCCTACTCCAATCCCTCCCCTGCCTCCCACCCCTGCCTCCCCAGGCAACCACTGATCTGCTGTAGCATCTCTAAACAGCCATTTGTATTTTTACTTTACTTAATTATAATTTTATATAAACAGAATCACGTCTGGCTTCTTTCACCAGCATACTGACTTATAGATTGGTTTGTACTGGCGGTGGGTCAGGTGTATGTTCTTTTTCTTGCTGAGTAGTATTCCTTCTCCATTCATCTGTTGATAGACATTGACAGTTTTGTTTGGGGCTGTTAGGTTCACACGCAAGACCTTGGATAAATGCCTTCTCTTGGGTTTATACTTAGAAGTGGAATGAGCGGGTTGTATAGGAGGCTTATGTTTTGGACTTAAGAAATGTTGCAACTTTTTTTCCCCTGGTACCCGTGTACATTCCCACCAGTAACAAAGGAGTGTTCAGTGGCTGGGCGTCCTTGCGCACACATGGCATGGCTGGTCTAATTTTAGCTCTTCTCATAACCATGCGGTCGTTTTAGTTTATTCCTCCCTGATGATGATGAAATAGAACATGTTTCCACATGCAGATTTGCCACCTTTGTGTCTTCCCATCTTGTACCTGTTTTGATCAACAGCCGTTTTCTTTCTTTTTAAACTGGATTGTTGTCTTTATATTGAGTTTTGGGGAGTTCTTTATATGTTCTGGAAACAAGGCAATGTCAGATCTAATCTTGTACAGATTTTCTCCTAATCTGTGGCATCTGGTTTTAGTCCCTTCTTAGTATTTCAAAGACCAGACCCTTAAACTGTGAAGGAATCCAGTGTATTGACCTAGCTTTAATAAATGTTCTTTCGGTGTGATGTCTCAGAGATCTTGGTGTACCCTAAGGTCTCAAGGTTTTCTTATAGGTATTCTGGAAGTGTCTGTTTCACACTTGGGCCTTGCAGTTAATTTATGTGCAAGTACGAGGAATAGGTTTCAGGTTAGTGTGGCTGTGGGTATGGATATCCGATTGTGCCCATGCCATTTTTGAAAAGATTATTTTCTCTGTACTACATTGTCAGTGGAGCTTCCATAAAAGCCAGTTGTTCATGATCTTGGGATGGAGGAGGGCTCTGCCAGGGTCTGCTGACCTGTTTGTTCAGCTTCGTGCCATGACTACTTTGCTGTGATGGCCATAACTCCTAACTTTTTAAACTCTGGACTTCGATCAAAATAAATTTCTCATCACTACTTCTAAAGTAGGAGTGCCAGCCCTGCCTATCCCCTACGCGGGGTCTCCACAGCCCTGTTGTTCCCTTACTGCTGACCCCAGGCCCTCCCTTCCTTCCCTTGCACCATTGGTTCCCTGTCCAGGCAGACCCTTCTCTGGGGCTTTGTTTAAACCCTGAAGAGCGCCAATGACCACCTCCCCAATCCGTGGGCATGCAGTGACTTTGCTAGAGAGAGAGAACAGACAAAGGCACCCTGCATCACCCTTGCCGCTCCCCAGGCTGCCTTTCTCCCTTGTTCGGGCCCGGGCTCACCCTGTGCATCCGGGTGATGTTTGCAGAGTGACTGCTGTCACAGGAGGTGGGAGGATGGGTGGGAGAATATTCCCATTTTACAGATGTGGCCATTGACCTGCACCACATCTCAGCCTCAGCTCTCCTACCTGGTGCTCGTCTTCCTTCTTTGCCTTTGGGATAAGTCCAGGCTGTCCTTTCTTGTTCTTCATGTTAATTACAGGGTTTTTGTTGTTGTTGTTGCTGTTGTGTAGGGGTTTCTGAGTTTATGACCCATGTCCTTGGTCAGCAACTCCTGGTCAGACCTTCTGACCGACCATGTCCAGGCCTGACCTTTGTCCCCAGGCCAGTGGCTTGGCCAGTTCTATTGGGACCCTGTTTCTCTCTCTTTGGTTGATGCTTCTGGCCAAGTCTGCCCTCATAGTGCCTGTCCATTCTGTGTGCTGACAAAGGAGTGTTCCTGGTCATAGGGAGCAAGAGGGGGCACCAAGCTGTCCCTGCAGCCCTGCCCAGCTCTTGGGAAAGCTGTGCCACTGCCTGGTGGGGCCCTGGACAATGGGGGGCTGAGAAGGGTGCTTCTTGCGGAAGGAGCAGACCCGCCCTTTCCTGAGCACTTTTTCCTCTCTGGTTTTCCCACTCTTCCATTTGACAAGCTGCATCTGTCACATTCGTGTCTATTGGTCCCATGCAGGCAGAATTGACCTGAGGCCTCTTCCTTCTACACACACATGCGCACAGCTCACCTGATGCTTTTAGGGAAATAGCACAAGCATGTGAATGATTCCTGGCCTCCCAGGCCCTGCTGAGCCAGCCCTGCCTGCCCCTGCAACCTGGCCATCCCCAGCTGCCTTGCTAGCCCCTCTCCTCTCGCTCTTTGTTCTTCCTACATCACCACATTCCCCACCCACCATGGGCCCTTCATATATGCTGACCCCACTGCTTGGAAAGCCTAAGTCTCACACGCCTCTGGCTGGCTGGCTCTTTCTTATTGTTTAGACCTTTAGGTCAGCCATCATCTCCTCAGCGATGCCTTGTCCCTCCCTCCAGCAAAGTGAGGTCCCCTTGGGCATATACTGGTAAAGTATAAAAGAATTAGAGAGCTTGGTCCCCTATCCAGGTCTCCCTTAAGGGGGCTGTCCTCTGCTTTCCCAAGTGCCTTAGCAAAAAGCGGGATCAGAAGCAGAGCAGCTGGGGCTTGAACCAGCATGCAGCCCTCAGGTTGAAAGGTCTGGCATGTGGGTTTGCTTTAAGTTCCCTTCTTGCCCTTCCATGTCCTGCTTTGCCCCATCACCAATGACAAGTAAAAAGAAGGAGTGAGGGGAAGAACTGGGGAGATGGAAGGGATCTCAATGGGCACAGGTGCATTTTGTTGTCCCTCTCGTTGTCCATCATCCATTGCCTTCGACTTCTGACCTCTCTCCACATCCCCCCAGACAGACAGGTAGTTCCCAGCCTTTTCCAAGCATATCTCTTATGCTGTCCCCTCTGGGAGCCTGGTCTCTGCTTTTCTTCTAGGATCTCTGCAGCTCCAACACTGAGGGATGCTCTCATCTCAGGAACCTCAGTGTTTGTCAGTCAAGCGGGGCAGGACTGCTTCCTACTGGGGCTGCCACCATCTTGTCTGGGAGCGACTTGCAGAAAGCCAGCCACGGAGAAAGAAGCTAGGTCCACAAGGTGCCATCTCTTTATCTCGCAGGTCCCTGGATGGCCGGCTACAGGTGTCCCATCGGAAGGGGCTGCCCCACGTCATCTACTGCCGCCTTTGGCGATGGCCAGATCTGCACAGCCACCATGAACTGCGGGCCATGGAGCTGTGTGAGTTTGCCTTTAATATGAAGAAGGACGAAGTCTGCGTGAATCCCTACCACTATCAGAGAGTGGAGACGCCAGGTATGCCCGGCCTGGGCTATCAGGGGGTCGGAATTGGGTCAGGAGGTGCACTTGCACTGGCAGGAGGGTCTGCCGGGCAGTGGGCAGAAGGGAGGAGAGGGGAGGAACAGCTGGGAGGGAGTGGGGGAGGAGCCGCAGGTGTAGCGCCTGGAGTGACAGTCTGCTGTGCCTCTTCCGGGCAGTTCTACCTCCCGTGCTGGTGCCTCGCCACGCTGAGATCCCGGCCGAGTTCCCTCCGCTGGATGACTACAGCCATTCCATCCCTGAGAACACCAACTTCCCTGCAGGCATAGAGCCCCAGAGCAATATCCCAGGTACACATGCAGCACCCCTTCCCCACCCCTTTCCTGTTTGTCCCTGTGCCTGGTGTTGCCTGCACCTCTGGGGACTAGACATGGGAGCCCTGATTCAGAACCCCATCCCACTCCCTAAAGATGCTTTTCTTGGCCCGGGACAGCAGTGTGACCCTTCCACCCAGGCTTGGTGCTGTCATTTATTTTGGAAGCAGAAATAGCAATTCTATGTTGCGCTCTCCACCCTCATGGGCCAGTGGGGCTAGTACTTGGGTGGGTAGGTGAGTGGACCAGCCAGGCAGCTAATACTGTGGAGTACAGCCTTGTGAGTACCCCTGGCTTCTATCTGGAGGGCTCCCTAGCCTAGGAGGGAGTTGAGGCCCACTGTGAGTTTTCTGTATGTGTGTGGGATCTGGCTTCCCTGCCCCAAGCATGGTTTGTTGTTAGATGGTATTATTTCCCATGCAAAGTGTGTGAATTGTGCTGGCAGCATCTGTGGGCCAGTGGCTGCTGGACATTGGCTGGTTGGGGTCGTGGTCCCCGCTTCCTTCCTTTCAGAGTGTTGTAATTGGGATGTGATTTTCAGTGGGGTGTGCCAAAGCTGTGCCCAGGCATGTGTGCTTGGGTCTGCACGTTAGAGTTGGGGAAGAAGGACCCCCTTCCAAGCCTTTTCAGATCCTCTGTGGCCAGAGAGTAAATCAAGTAGTAAAACGTAGGGGAAGGGGCAGCTCTAGGTCAGGGTCTGGGGGTGGCCATGTATTCGGAAAAGCAAATGCCCCTAGTCAGAGTCAGCCTCCCTTGAAAGCTGTGCTGCACCCCTGAGAGTCAACACATCCCAGCCACCTCCGTGGTTCGCCCCCAAAAAGAGAGGGAGAGGCCTCTCTTGGAGGAGGTGGGGCTTCACCTTGATTTCCAAAGGATGGGAGAAGTTAACCCAGCCTGGGGTTTTGTGAACAGAGGCGGCTACAACCCAGGTAGGCAGCCGCAGTCTCTGGGTGTGAGGAAAGCCAGGACTCCTACCTTGGGTGCAAGACCCGATTGTCCCTCCACCCATCAGTGTTCCATGCTGGTGTAGTAGTGTGAACATGAGCTGCACATGCTGAAGGAGGCCTTAGAATGAACCCCCTGCCTTCTGATTGCCAGAGACCCCGCCCCCTGGCTACCTGAGTGAAGATGGAGAGACCAGCGACCACCAGATGAACCACAGCATGGACGCAGGTCAGGCATGCCCCGCTGTGCTGCCCTTCTCAGCTGGGGACCCTGTCCCTCCCTTTCTCCCTCCTTTGCATCACCTGCCAGCCCACCTCTTGTCTCTCTATCCAGTACTTGCACAGCCATCTTATGTGTCAGGTCCCAGGCCTATAAGGTGGGTGATGAAAGGGCCTGGCAGCTAGAGTCCTTGTCTTGGATTCGCCGGGATCCCATATGGGCACCGGTTCTAATCCTGGCAGCCCTGCTTCCCATCTAGTTCCCTGTTTGTGGCCTAAGAAAGCAACCGAGGATGTCCCAAGGCCTTAGGACCCTGCAACTGCGTGGGAGACTTGGAGGAGGCTCCGGCCTCCTGGCTTTGGATTGGCTCAGTTCCAGCCATTGCAGCCACTTGGGGGATGAACCATCAGGTGGAAGATCTTTCTCTCTTTCCTCCTCTCTGCATATCTGCCTTTCCAATAAAAATAAATAACCCTTTAAAAAATAAAACAAGATGGATGATGGTGTTAGCCCAACCATAGGAGCATGGGGGCATTGTGGGGGCCCATGGAGCTCCGTGGGGCTGGCTCCAGGGCTGGGCACTCTGCGTAGCTGGAGGCTCCCTTCTCCAGAGAAGGATGAGGGAAAAGAGTGCCCATCCTGCTGGGCTTCCAGTGCGACCCACCTCCCAGCAGATGGGCTCCTAGAAGGGCTGTGGGGTGGAGCTGGTGGGACGTTGCTGGGACTGTCTGGGCAGGTGGATGCCATTCCTGAGTCAGTTCAGGTGAGAGGCACGGAGAGCCTGAAGGGAATACTGTTTTAGGGGATTTTTTTTTCTTGGTGGCCAGTGGAGGCCTTCTACTGCTGCCCCCCAAATATCACCATGACCCGCAGCTGCTATCGGGAAGAACTGGCCTAAAGCTTCCCTCTGCCGCACATCATTTGCTGTGGGACCAAATTGGCTGCAGACTAGCAGCTTTTTGGGCTGAACCCTAGCTGCTGTGAGCTGTGTTGTGCATGACTGGGGACGGTGATGGAGACTGCCCAACAGATGGGGCACTCTGATCGTGCTGGCAACGGGCATGCCCTGTGCTTACTGCCACTACATGTTGCACTTGCCACAACCCAGGCAAGGAGGGGCGAGTCTGGAAGCAGAGGGAAAGTGGCTTGTAGTCCCAGAATATGCATGGTGGTCTTCACCACTGATGTGTGGCCCTCAGGGCTCAGCACACCCTCTTGGCCCATGTGGCCACTGCAGACTTGAGAAACCCCAGATGCCGGCATGGGAAGCGGGCCAGCCAAACAGCCTCTCTCACCCAGTGGTCTTATTCCTCCTTCAGCTTCCTCTCTGCCCTCCTCGCCTCTGCTGCTATCACAGAGGACATGGACCAACTGGGACACCAGGTTGTGCCCTCTGTGTTCTCTTTTTTTCCTCCCCCCTCCCATTTCTTGCCCTTTTCCCTCTAATCTCTCTCCCTACCTCCCCTCCTATATTTTGGGAAGCTAGGGCAAATGGCTCCTTGAACCCTCCTCTGCCTTGGAGTGTGGTCCACAGGATAGGTGTGTAAGCTACAGAAAACGGATTGTCTCGTCAAGGTGAAAACCCATCAGCAGGTGGCCCATCTTGTGCCCTCCAGTCCTGGAAGATATCTGAGATCATCTGAGGTCATGCGCAAGACCTGTTCCTTCCATGGCCAAGGATGTGAGGCCCAGGGTGACCTGGATCTGCAACAGCCAGGGCTGATCTAGGCCAAAGCCAGGAGCCAGGAACCCATCCAAGTCTCCCTATGGGCGACAGGACCCCAAGCGCTTGAGCCATCCTTGGCTGCCTCCCAGGATGTACAATAGTAGGAAACCAGGAGCTGACCTGGGATTCAAACCTAGGTTGTCTGATAGGCTGTACCCAGTACCCACGGGAGGCTATACTGCTTGAAGGGGAAGCATCTGGCCAGCTGGCTCTCAAGGCCGAGAATCCATTACAAAGTTTCATAACCATGTCTTGCCTCATAGGTTCTCCAAACCTGTCCCCGAATCCGATGTCCCCAGCGCACAATAACTTGGGTGAGTATGTCCTGGTCAGCATAGCTGGCTAGAATCCTTCTGGAGCTGTGGCCCTGGCTGGTGGCCAGTGTGGGGAAGGGGAGTCTGAAGGAGTGTCCCCCAGCCCGGCCCAGCCCAGCCCAGCTCAGGCCAGCCAGCTCAGTCCCTCAGAAATGTGGTTACAGTGACCCTGCGGTCACACTAGCATGGAGAAACCTGAGAGCAGCCAGTGGGGGCCAGAGAGGCAGCCGGGGCCAGGCCTGTGTTTTCCCTGGATAGTGGGGAGACAGGAGTAAAGGAAAGTCCCCCAGCTTCGGGCTCTGCCGGAGCAGGGGCTGTGGTCAACTCAGCACATGGGGGTGTGGATAGAGTGGCCAGGGGCAGCTACGCTGGTTGCAGAGCCTGATTCCTGCAGACTTGTTGCCTGGGCACTTCCTTGAATTCCCTGTGTTCAGCTTGCAATTCTGTGACTTTCACTCAGACTACTTAGTAGTACACTCATAGGAGGAGTTTTGCAAATGAGCAAATATGCCCGGCATCCCAGCATGGCTGTCTTTGCTGGGTCTCGGGGCTTCACCACAACACTCCATAGAAATGACAGGGCAGGGCTGCATTCCTTGCCCTGGTTTTACCTTACACTGTTTGGTTGATGAGCCTCCACGTTGCGTTGTCTCCTTGATTGTTTTACATTATCATGTGGTGTTTTAGAGCAGCTGCACCAAGGCAGCTACAGCAGTGCTAGGGAACAGGGCTCTGGGTGGCTGTGTCCAGGATTCCCTTCTCTAACACCAGAGGTCTCCTTCATTTCTCCCTGCATGGGCGAGGAGTCCCTTCATGGACTGTCTTGTGTCTGTGGGGTGGAGCCTGCAGAAAGGCTACAATAAAAGAAATACCTGTTTTGTTCTTTATGGAAGAAAAAACATTTTTTTTAAGATTTTTTTTTTGAAAGGCAGAGTTACATAGAGAGGAGAGACAGAGAGATCTTGCATCTGCTGGTTCACTCCCCAAATGTCCACAAAGGCCAGAGCTGAGCTGATCCAGGAGCCAGGTGCAGTGGCCCAAGGACTTGAATCATCCTCCACTGCTTTTCCAGGCTGGAAGCAAGGAGCTGGATGGGAAGTGGAGCAACCAGGACTAGAACCAGCACCCATCTGAGATGCTGACAACAAAAGCTGAAGATTAACATACTATGCCAGTCATAGCATCAGCACCATGGAAAAGGATTTTTACTTTATTATTATTTTTTTTTATTGGAAAGCCCAAGAGCCAGAGCTGGATAGAAACCTTCATCCCCTGATTCATTCCCCAGATGTCCCCAATAGCTGGGGCTGGGTCAGACTCAAGCCAAGAGCCTGGCATTCCATCTGGATCTCCCATACAGAGTGCCCAGGACCTGAGTACTTGACCCCTCATCCACTGCCTCCCTCTCCCAGCCAGGTGCACATTAGCAGGCAGCTGGGATCAGAAGTAGGGCCAGGACTCAATATCATGCCCTCCAGTATATGGGATTCAGACATACCCAAGTAGAATCTTCATGACCCGAATACCGAACACACACCCGGAGAATTGTACTCAACAGAATTCTGCTTTGGTGGTTTTTAGATGTGACTTTGCTCCCACTTTAGACATTATGGCTGGGGCTGCCTTACGTGACTCAGGAAAAGCCAGAGTGGATGGGGAAGCAGAGTGGACTAGACTGTTTTGTGTCCTCTCCCCCTGTACCCCCACCTTGTTGCCAACCTTGATTAATAAGTGTCAGATACAGAAAGAACCCCAGCATTTGGGATATTGGGAGGTGCCCGGGATCCCTTTGGAAGCAGCTGGCACGGGGCAGTGTGAGCTGTGACCTTGGGGGCCCTGTCATGTGTTGGGTTTTGCTGAGACAAGGTCAGATGCCAGATAGGAAAGGACTGAGTTGCTCAAAACAATCACTGAAGGCCAGGCACCGTGTTAATGCTTGAGGAAATCGTGAACTTGACGAGGATCTCTTGCTTTGGGGCTTGACTGGTTGAGATTTACATTCTGAGCTTGGTGGGGGTGCAAGGATTCTTGGTTTTTAGGCTGGGGAGCAAGCTTCTGCCTTAGACCCCATGAAGGGTACAAGCTGGCTTGGTAGCAATGGGTTCAGCCAGGAAATCATCCTAGTGACGGTGACAGTGGGGCAGGATACCCTGCTGATCCAATTCCCTCTCCTCCTGCCCCTTCCTCAGGCTTGGGAATTCCTTGGTCATTTCCTTTGCCTGGCTCAGCATGGTGGGCGGTGGGCGTCACCCAGCCCTGGATGTGTCTCACCTCTGCCAGGAAGGCATGAATCGGGGCCCAGTCAGCCAGCGAGTCAGGGTGGAGGGGAACTGAGGGCCCCTCACCTGCTCAACACCTACTCTCAGATCTCATGACAGGGATCCCAGGAAGTGGGGGTAGGGAGGAACAGCTTGGAGGAGGGCCCAGATGATGGTGACCACCCCGGCAAGCAATCCTACAGAACTTCTCATTAACAGTTCTCCAGAGGGCCTGTGAGTGGTGGACCCATCCTCTTTGACAGTGCTAATGAGGCTGAAGTGTTGCAATCTCCCAGTTTTCAGGTTAGCCAGCCAAGGAGTGGGCTGAGCTGCTCACATGTTGCTAATGGCGCACTGCCTGTCGACAGAGAATGAGCTGGCTTGGGGTTCAGGCCGCCTGGGGATCCATGCTCCCCTGACATGCGACCCTGCCTGGCTGGGTCATTTCCAACTTGCCCTTGGCTTCCTCCCTCCGAGAAAAGCTCCCAAGGGACATAGATTGACATCTAATTGGGGACAGATGTCAGCTGGTGGCTCCTGAGTGGTGGTGGTGGTGGTGGTGGGGACAGACCCCCTGCCTGCTGGCCCATGTTCTCCTCTCTCTTTCATTCCCCAGCTCCTTCCTGCCTGCTCCCTATAGCCAGACTGGGATGGGAGGAGTCATCACAGGCGGGGCCATAAATGACTCTACATCAGGAAGTAGACGCAGAGGGAGTCGGGGCAGCCTGGCCAGCTGCAGCCACTCATGCAGTGCCCTTTGTGGAGTGTCTTGATGCCACAGGGTGGGGAATGGGGTGCCCAGAGCAGTCACAGCTTTGTGGGGTAGCTGGAGGGGTCTGCCTGGGCTGCAGTATGCCAGGTGAACTGGCAAGGCTGAGGTGACAGGTGGGCTCCTGGGAGGTTGGGGAGGAAGCAGACATTGCAGGTGGAAGGGCAGCTGGCCATGTGCTTATTGTCCAGAGTGCCAAGGGGGAGACAGAGAGGGCTATGGGGTGGGGGAGAGGAGGGTACAGTGCGAATACCCCCGGACTGTGCTCTGCCAGCCCCTCTTGCCTACAGATTCCAGTTGCTGGTGGGTGTTAAGCAGAGATTTGTTTGACGACAGCTTCGTAAAGATTAATCTAGCCACTGGGTGGACTCTAAATCCCTGGAGAAATTATTGGAGGCAAAACAAAAACAAACTCAGTCCAGCAGCTGTTGCTGTGATGGCAGAGGCTGGCATGAGTGCCTCAGAGACACAGTGGGCAGAGTTGGCCTAGACCCAAAGGAGGAGGGGTGCTCATCTTTACCTGGGACCATGTGATGCCTGCTGGGGACACCCACGTGCTGGACTAGGCTGATGACAGGGTGGGGAGCTGCTGTGATCAGCAAGTCAGGAGAGAAGGGGTTTGCAGCTGAGTTTAAAAAGCCGGTCCTGCAGTGCTTACTGGGAGATGCTCCAAAGGACCCACAGACTCCTTGGCCCTATTTCTTGGATAGGGGGACACTGGGGCAGGGGGCTGATGGGGCTGCAGCAGCCAGGGGGCAGCAGTGAGCAGGCTCTGCAGAGCCGCAAAGCAAGGTTAGGAAGAGGCCTTGAGTTTGACACCAGGAGTTGGAGCGTGGCCAGTGGCCTGGTGAAGGGCAGATCAAAAGGGCGGAGAGGTAGAGGCCCCTAGCAGGGCAGTCTTTGTGCTCTGTGTGGCCAGCATGTCCCAGAGGATGCAGAGGACTCAGACAGGCCCGCAGTGAGCTCTTCCTCGGAAAAGCAAGAGGAACTTTTTTTTTTTAAGAAGTGGTGATGAAACTGTTATACCAAAGCCTAGGGAAGCTGGTTTTCTCTTGCGTTTCCTCCCCTGAGTAGGGACACTGGCTCTGGGCTCTGATCTGGAGCCATTCACGTCTGCTGCCACCATGAAGCACTATGGTCGGGGGCAGGTGTCTTGGGGGGAGTCCTTGGGCACTCAGCTGGGTGTCCCAGCCTCAGGATTGGCTTCGAGAGGCTGGAGGCCTTTGCTTTGCAGGCCTCCTGGGTAGGCCCGGAGCAGGTGCCGGTCCTGTTGTTACACATCACTGCGCTGGGGTGAGTCACCGGGAATTTCCAAAGCAATTAAGTCCTAGTGGAGTGAGTGAGAGGAAGGAGGAGGCAGGTAGAGAAGAGGAACAAGGTAGTGAGCCGACCCCGCGTGTGAGTAAGTTGTTCCTGCTTCCCAGTGAGCCGTGCACGGAGGGGTGGTGACTGAGGACCAGGAGGTGCCAGTGCTGGGGAGTTCCCCAGGACAGTGGGGATGGAAGGAGCTGATGGTTCTCCAGGATGCCTGGGACAGAGCACGCCTGCCTCTCTCCCTGAGCCTGGGTTGCTGGCGCAGTCGGAGGGTGGGGAGGTGGGAAGGTACAGGTCTCAGGCCCTGGTGTGAGTCTTTGGGCTGCAGCACACAGCGCTTTTGCTCAGACCACCTCTGCCTCTGGACTTCCCAAGCTGGTAACATCATAGACGGGGCATTATCAGAAGTTAGCGGTCATTTCACTTGAGACTTTGCCACTCTTGCCAGTCGCGGACAGGGGAAAACATGGGGTTCTTTCTATGTCAGTTAGATTTGTTGCTATCATCCTCCGAGACAGGGATTGAAATCAGTGCCCCATGAGCTGGGGACGCGGCTGCCTTGCAATGCCAGCCGAGAATGAACCTGTGGGGTGGGAGACTCAGCTGCAAGGGTGACTGGAATGCAAGAGGCTATTAATTCTGCATGGTGGGGAGTTGTGGGGAGGGTGCTGAGGGAATGTTTGACAGCTATGCCAGCTGGGCCTTAATGGCTGTGTCCATGCAGACAGGGTTGGAGGCGGGGCAGGGGGAACGGTCCAGGCAGAGGGGAACCAGGAAGGACCGCACGGAGGGGAGCATGGGAGCTGTTGCATTAGGTTAGAACTGCTTTCAGCAGGTGTATGGTACGACCCAGACAGAGCCATCCATGTCTGCTTCCACTTCTATGTTTCGGATGCCTGCATTCATTCCCCACTTCTGGGATTTATGGCAGCTAAGTTAATTTCTCCCTCTTGTGTCCCCCGCCTTTTCCTGTACCGCATTTGGATCTCTCACATGTGTTTAAGTAGGCATCCCTTCATCCAAGAGGTGCCTTCTGGGTTTTATTCTGTTTTCTTTTCCTTAAACAAAACAGAAAATCCTTGCCAGCTGGGATCAGAGCTCCAAACCCAAGCCAGCCAGCCGAGGCGTTAGGCTGGCAGGGGGCCAGTCGTGAATTAAGTGCCCCGTGTCACTGGAGAAATCTGGCCGACAACACACTGGTAGGGGGGCAGGGGGACCCAGGATGGCTGGAGCTGGAGGTCCCTGCCACTCTTAACACCTCCGCCTGGAGAGGAGGGATTAGCAGAGACTCGGGAGTCTGGCCAGGAGTGGGGTTGTTAGATTGGAAGGCTTGGACATCTGCCCTTGTCTGCCAGCCGACCCAGGTGCAGGGTCCCGGGCTGGGAGAAGCTCCTGCTCTCGAATGGGGGAGGTGTCACCCAGCCTCCTCTACACAACACCCCCCTGCCATGGAAGAACCTTTGCAAGGGTTTTTTGTTTTTTGTTTTTTGTTTTTTGTTTTTTTTTGCAAGAAGCAGCTTTCTGTTTAATAACCTTTATGTTTCTTGGTGACCTCTTACAACCCAGGCCTGTTTGAGTGACTCCATGGGTGTAGGGAAGAGGTGTAGGGGAGGGGCTCCCCCCAGGAGAAATTTCCTTTTAGACTGAATGCTAGGTGGTCGCTTCAACAGCACATGCACTAGATTGAGTGCCAGAACAAGCGTTGCTTCCCTTCTGCAACTGGTATACCTCATGACCTATCACTTGTCCATTTTTGCCTTTTCTGCTAGGAATCTCCAAACTGATTTGAGAGCTCTTTTAAGTAGTTGAAACATTTGTGTATCTCCTTTTCACAGCCTTTTCAGATTCCTGGAGTTTGGTTTCTTTTGTACTAGCCATGGTGTGGCTAAGTCCTCGTGCTGAGAGAAAAAAAAAATGAGGCCATAGTAATTTTTTTTTAAATACCATTGGAGGTGGTTGACCAGCCATGATATAGAAGAGAAAGGAGGAAGGCAGGGGAAGACCTGGCTGCTGTTGGGCCATTTGCAGAGAACAGAGGTGTGTGGCAGAGATCACCTCTCTGGCCCAGTCCTGCCTCCCCTGAGCCTGGGACAGCTTGTCCAAATCTCTAAAACAGCCACTTCATACCTTAACTGCCAGCCTGAGGTCACCCCTCTCCTGTTTCTGGGCACAGTGCTTCCTGCCACAGGGCCCCGAATGTGTGTTCTGCAGGGGTGTGTGTAGATGTACAAGTGGGCTCATCTCTGCCTGGGAGGGCCTTCTAGACCAGACATGTCACATCCTTCTTGGATTCTGAGTTTCCCTGAAGTCCGCCTGACCAATCTGGCTGACGGCAGGGTGTGGTTCCCACATGTGTCACGGGATGGGTGGCCTGTCATTTCAATGGACAAAATGTGGCAGTGCTCCTTGGAGCTGATGCTCTGTTTATTGGCTGCACCAAACCCAGGGAGTGTTATACAGGATTTTTTTCTTTCTTTGGAGGAGTTGGGGGAGCAGGGACGCTCGTCTATTCTATATGTTAAGTAAACCAGGGCCAGCCCAGAGCAGCCAAAGCTGCCTCATGAGGCTGTTCCATGCCTGCCTTAGGAACCTATGTGGTCTACATCAGCAGCCTTCTTGTCCACTGCAGTCTGTCTTTATGCAGATCAGGAAACCGAGGTCAGGGTCAGGAGAGCCTGTCCCCATGTCACATAGCAAGGATCGCAAGAGTCTGCATCTATCTCGACAGTGGGAGCCCCACAGCACTGATGCATGGCTTGGCTACTTTGAATGCTTGCACTGTAGTTATGTTTCTTTCTTTTTCTTTTTGGACGTTTCCAAAGCAGCATAGTTCACATTCTAGCGACCACATTGTTTAGAGTAGAGCTTATCTCACTGGAATGTTGAAGCATGCAGCGCAGCCGGGCAGGCTGTGGCTGCTGTGGCTCAGCCCCATCTCCGCCCACAGCTACTCCTTGCCCTCCACCTCCCCCCGAATTCTCCCTCCTACACTCGGCAGCTTAGCTCTCCTGTTTTTCCTCCATGTTCCATTCTGGAAAAGGGTGCAAGGAAGCTTTCCTCCTCATAGGATGGAGGTTGAAAAAGCACCAGGAGGTTCTTGAATTCCTATAAGCAGGGTGATTTTAATTGTTGCCCACACTGCCTACTACATACCCGAGACTTTGAGGGGCCCCTCATTGGGAATACAGAGTGACAGTCTGTGTTGCTTGTGGGTGACTTTTTGTCCTCCTTGCCCCATGGGTGGCTGCTGGGTGACTTTAGAAACTAGTTCCTTGACAAGACACACAGCATCCCACATGGTCTGCAGATGGCTTTGAATTACTTGGAACCACGTGCTTGACATGTGGTATGAGTGACACCTGACATGCTTGACATATGACATGCCTGACACTGCTGCTCTGTAAGTTCATAAAAGATTGCCCAGGGTCTTGCAGAGCCTAAAAACAGAAAGTCCTTTGGGTGGCAGAGAATGAGTGTGATTCCTTTGGGGGGCCTGGTGGGGACAGTGCAGGTGGCTCCGTGTTCTGTGTAGCAGGAGCTCCCAAAGTCTGTCCCTGTGGTTTGCCCCAGTGCCATTTGGTGTCCAGCCCTCCACAGCTTTGGCCCAGTCTCCCTTTGAGGACTGCCATTAGCTATGTCAAGTCCAGGGCAGTTTAGTCCAGAGACCTTCATGTGTGAAATGAACCTGGTGCAGCCCGCCCATAGGGGCATGGCTACTGGGGTGTGCTTCTCAGAAAGTGTCTCTTGTGCCATTTGCTGGATCCAGAGGTTTGTGTGCATGAAAGGCAGGGAGAGTTCCAAGACCCTCTAAGAGGGAGGGAGGCAGTCGGGGATTAGCATCCAGGGTGTGCAAGGCCCCAGGTGATCCTTGACCCACTTGCTGCCTTGTGCCCTGCACCTACAGACCTGCAGCCCGTCACCTACTGTGAGCCAGCCTTCTGGTGCTCCATCTCTTACTATGAGCTGAACCAGCGTGTCGGGGAGACGTTCCACGCCTCGCAGCCCTCCATGACTGTGGACGGTTTCACCGACCCCTCCAACTCGGAGCGTTTCTGCCTGGGGCTGCTGTCCAATGTGAACCGGAATGCGGCGGTGGAGCTCACACGGAGGCACATCGGTACCTACCAGCTGTTGCTGCACCCCTCTTAGAACCCCCACCGACTCTCACCTCCACCTCTGGCCAGGAATCAGGACCCCGCTGGGCCCTGCCCAGCCCTTTGACATGCTCCATAGCTCAGTATAGGAGTTAGAAGGGAAAAGTCCAGGTTGCTTGGTTTTTCTCTCTCAAACCTAGAGAGTTTCTTTGCAAGTTTGGAAGCCACCTGTTTAAGGGGACAGAAAGGTATGTCCCTGGGAAAGGCAGCGGAGGAAATTCTTCCTGTGTGCTTTTCCAGTACAGAGACTGCTGGCGTTAGTCAGTAGCCTGTCATTCTTGCTCATCTCAGTGGTGATTCTTCTAGAAGGATAAGGTAGAGAGATGTTACTGACCCCCACCTAAAGACCACTGCTACCCCTCCGGGCTGCCAAGTCATGCCCAGGGCACAGGCTGAAGGCAGGTGCAGATGTATGTGGTTGTTTGCTTTGCTCACACACTGAACAGCACACTCAGGCTGTTGCTGATTTTTTCTGACTCACAGTCTTACACCATGAGAATGTGGAGGAGCCATGAAGCAGGCACAAGTGACTGTCTTCCACCATGTTCTTGGCTCCCAAAGGAGTGACTGAGGGGTTCAGGGCTGCCCACAAACTCTGTGCCTGCTTCTTTGACACCTTGAGTCCTCACCAAAGGTCTCCAGGGAAGAGAGGGGGTGCACAGCTCCGTGGCCCTTCCCCCAAAGCCCACTGGCCCCTACCATTTCCCATTTTCCCCTCTACAAATAAGATACTGACCCTGGATAAGGATTCCCAGGTGGACTGACTAACGCCAGCAGTCTCTGTACTGGAAAGGCACACAGGAAGAATGTCCTCCGCTGCCTTTCCCAGGGACATACCTTTCTGTCCCCTTAAACAGGTGGCTTCCCAGGGGGAAGGGGCAAGGAGTGGAAGCAGGGGTGCCTGGCTGCAGAGGTTGGCAGAGGTGATTGGGTGGTGGAGCCACCTTCACTGTACTCTGTCTACCTGGAGTGCTGTATAGAGTTGGAGGGAGAGCAGCTGAGGAGACCTGTGCAACGTTTTAGGTGAGGGCGCAGAAGGGAGAAGGATGCAGTGTTCCCCTTGCAAGGAGGAGCCTGGGTTTGGTGGTGGTGGGAGGCTGCACCTGCAGACAGGCAGGGACCAGAAGATGGTGGTGCAGCAGCTGTCACTGTGTCCACAGTGGCAGATGCTACCCTTGTGCTTACTGTGTGGCTCATGGTCACAGGCGAAGAATTTGGGTTTGGAGGTCAGGGGGCAGGCCAGTGGGCAGTCAGTGGCCAAGGCTCAGCCTGGGATCTCCTATGTGGGGATCAGCCTCTCTCAACTTTGGGATCTCAGCATGCCTGCTGCTTCCCTTTCCTCTGCATAGATCCCCCAGGCTTGGGCTCTGGGTCCTTCTGGCAGGGGATGCTGACGGCAGGCCCCCGGGCAGCCAGGCAGGGCATCCTGGCCAGTCTAACCCACCTCTTCCCAGGGCGGGGCGTGCGGCTCTACTACATTGGTGGAGAGGTCTTCGCCGAGTGCCTGAGTGACAGCGCCATCTTCGTCCAGTCTCCCAACTGTAACCAGCGCTATGGCTGGCACCCAGCTACTGTCTGCAAGATCCCACCAGGTAAGCCTCCCAACCCAAACTCCTCTTGGGAGATGTGTGTGAGAGAGAGAGAGAGGCCACCTTTCTGGCCTTTCCTGTCCCTGCTGGGGTGGCATGCCAACCTGGGCAGCTGTGTATGCCCAACTGTCATCTTCCTGTGCCTTCTCAAACCTCCAGAGCATGGATGACACACCTTGTGCCTCTGCCTTTACCCTGGCAGTCCCTGCCCCACACCCTAATGATACAGGTGCTTAAGCAGCAGGCCTTCCTCCCCTCCTGCAATAATTACACACACACACACACAGAGCATGTAGGGGCATTATGTCAGGTGCTGGAAGGCTGAGGGGTGGGGGTGGGGATGGGGCCCTGCTAATGTCCTCGTACACCTGTGGGGTACATAGGACAAAGAAATGAGTTTGATACAAGGGAAGGGGGCCATGCATCAGGCAAGCAGCATACCCTAGGGAGAGTGCCTATGTCACAATCGGGGTTGATCAGGGAAAGCTTCCTGTAGGAAGAGGCAGCATTCAGGCCTTGGAGGATGGGCAAGTGGTAGGCCACAGGGAGCCCGGCAAAGGGAGGACTCTGGAGAGAGGCTTACCTGTGCTGGAGGGACTGTGTCCGTGACAATCAGGGACATGTCCAAGCCTCCAGGAGGGTCCTGGGAGGACATGAGGATGTTGTCATTTTATTCTGGGGGAGCTGCTAGGCAGGCAGGGCTGCTGAAGCCCACCTGTACCCCCTGCCCCAAGAAGGTACGCCAGGTTGCACCTGAGGGTGGTGTGGACAGTTGACTACAGCAGAGGCTGCGCTCTTGAGAAAACCCAGACAGACAAGCCGAGCTGGAGCCCTGTGGAGAGCATGTGCTGTGTACCCTCTCCTGCCCACTTTAGCAACAGGTGGGACCTGGTGGCCGACAGACTGGGTGATGCTGAGGATGCAGAAGCGAGCATTTGGTGGCTGCAATACCAGTGAGCCAGGTGTACATCCTTGACCTACCTTGTTCCGTCCCTTCCAGCCAGTTTGGCTCTAGGAGCAGGAGGTTTTCTTTGAGGAAGCAGGTTCAGAGGCTAAGGCATCCTGCCCAAGGATGCCCACCCAGGTCTGCTTCTGCTGTGTGGGCGGCCAGCCTCCCATCCCGACCCTGTGAGGCCCTGGAGATGATGCCATGGGCAGAAGGTTTGGCTGCATCCTTGGCACTGTGCGCCACCTCCCCAGCTCCCACCCCCATCTTTCCACGATGGCCCAGTTGGCCTTGGCAATGTCTCATTAGCACAAAGCTCTGTGTTCTATGGAAGAGATGGGGAGGGAGTGAGGGTGGAGCCAAGGGCGGGCAGGGGGGCCCAGCATCACCCAGCAAGATCGAGGGCCCAGCAGTGGCCTCTGCAGCGTCACCTCGCTTCACCTTGTGGTTATTCCTGGCATGAGCTTTTGTCTTCGTTTTCTTGCTTGAGACATTCTTGGCACTCCATCAGTGTGAAGCAAAGAGAGGTTTCTTTTGAACTTGACTTTGGGCCTGTCTCCAGTGTTGCTGTCTGCAGGGTCACACACGCATGCCTTGGTGTTGTCATGAGTGTCATCCCCACTCAGCCCTGAGCCCTCCCCATTGCCCGACCCTCCCTCACAGCCTGGAAGATGCTCCAACCCTCTCCTGAGCCTGCAGATCATTCATTTTATAGGCACTGCCTGCTGGTCAGCAGCACCACACGCAGCCCTGTGTCAGAGTGAGGCCCATCTCTGCACCTGGCTGCCTCCTCCTTGGCCTGCCCATAGCTTGAGTGGCTGCAGCTTCATCTGGGCTGTGTCTCCCCAGGGAGGGTGTGACAGCTCCCTGGGATCTGCCCCTCATGTCGTGCTGAGCTGTTGTGACCACTGACTGGGTGCCACTGGAGCCATGGGGATGGACCCATAGGGATGGCTTTTGTCTTTGCTGGCAGGGTGCAACCTGAAGATTTTCAACAACCAGGAGTTTGCCGCCCTCCTGGCTCAGTCGGTCAACCAGGGCTTCGAGGCTGTCTACCAGCTGACCCGCATGTGTACCATCCGCATGAGTTTTGTCAAGGGCTGGGGAGCCGAGTACAGGTCAGTGACATGTGTTTAGGGGGAGGGTGGGGCGGGGGGATTGGAAATTCCTCATGCCAAAGCATTGTAGCCTGGCAGGTGGAAAGGACTAGGGTATCCCTTTTGCACCTGCTATTGCTCAGATGCTGGAGCACAGGTGTCCCTGACCAGCATCATGTCCAATGTACAGATGAGGGGACTAAGGCCTTGGGACAGAGGGGGACTTGCCTGAAGTCCCACCGTTCACTGGATGGCACCCTCTTGGCCTCTTGCTCTGGGATGGGTGATGAGAGGATGCCCTGCCTTCGGGCACGGAGCCTTCACTGCCTGGTCCCCCTTCCTCCCAATGTGGGGCTCCAAACCCCACTTAGGAACCCTGGGGCCCCAAGAAGCAGGAAGTTAGAACTGAAAACCAGGGAAGGAAGGAGGAGATCTGGGACACTGTAAAGTACAATGTTTACCTGCTTAGAAAAGAAATAATTAAACAGATACTTGTTTGGAAGAGTTACAGAGAGAGGAAAAATCAGAGAACTTAACATTCACAAGCTTACTCCACAAATGGCCATGATGGTAAGAGCTGAGCCAATTGAAAGACAGGAGCCCAGAATTTCCTCTGGGTCTCCCATGTGGGCACAGGGGTCCAAGGCCGGGTCAGTCTCTGCTGCTTTCCCATCAACAGGGAGCTGGATCAGAGATGGAGCAGTCAGGACTCAAACTGGTGCCCATATGGGATGCTGGCGCTGCAGATGGCAGTGCCACCCTCTATGCCACAGTGCCAGCTCTGATTTTTGTTTGTTTTAATTAAAAATTCTAAATACCGATTTCAACATGGTGCAGGCATGGATCAGCCATGGTCGGCTTTCCCAGATCACTGTGCTGGGAGAGTCTGGGAGGACCTGGATGTACAAGGGTCTGCCATGCAGCAGGCCTGTGCACCATCTTCCCACCCACAGCTCCCAGTGCCCGCAGCAGACGCTCCAGTACCCATGCGTCAGCCGGAGCCAATGCTAGGCGAGTTCCTCTCCCCCTCTTTTTCATTTTTCCAGATGTTTGGACTCCATTTTGTTTTGCAGTCACTCTGCACCCAGGCCAAACCCATTTCAGTGTTGGCTCAGGGCCACCGTTTATAATGAGATCCAGATGAGTGTGACTTACGGAGAGACAGAATATCATTAGAAGATTTCACCCTCCCCCCACCCCAGCCCTCCTCCTCCACCTCCTCAGTGAATTTAAGCTGCCATTCTCAGGTCTGCCCCATGGTCTCCTTTGTCTTTCAGAAGTCCAGCATGAAGTGACATGGCGAGCAGCCATGGTGAGAGGCAGACTTCATGAGGACTGGCGACTGTGTTCTAACAGTTGCCGAGGTCACCCCAGACCCAGAGGGCTGGCTGGCATGGACCACATAGGGCACAAGAGGACAAGATCAGAATTGGCGTTTTTGCATGTGGAGGGGAGGGAGATGTTTAAATGTGACCCTCAGTGGTGAAGAGCCAGGGGACACACCTGTATGTACTGTTGTCCTGTGGTTTCACCACAAAGGGGGGGGGGGTGGTGGTGCCCTCCTTCAGGCAGGCCCTCACAGGGCCATGTCACCAAGTAGGGAAGTGTAGGTCAATTCAGACAGGCAGGTCTTGGACCTAGTGCAGTATCATGGCTGATCATTCCTGTGGCCATGAGGGGCCCCTCGGTGGTGGCAGTGTTGGACACCTTCCCCCAGGGGCACTGTATCCATCACCCCGTAGACTGCCTGGCCAGCACACCCCGTGCCCTCAGCCCAGCACGCGTCACTGCCGCCTGGCAGCACTGCACAACAGCCTAATGAGCGGGTGCGGCCCCTTCCCAGAACAGCCTTGCCGCCCTTCTGTGTCCTAGGCCAAGGAGGCTAGGGTTTCAGCTGTCGGCCGTGTGAGGAGGCCAAAGGCAGGGCCCAGAGCCCGTTGCTGTTGTCCCCTCCAGCTGGCACTGGCTGCTAGGGCCTCAGCAGATAGCCTTTGCTCCCCGGGGCCTCAGGGAGCCAGCCCGCAAGCTGCGTCACCCGCCAGACTGAATTTACACACAGAATGCTTTGGGCAAAAGAAACGTGTGGTGTGGCATGCCTCTCTCTCTTTTTTTTCCAGTAATTGTTCCACAGTTTGCTCTGCTTGTAAGATTTTCCAAAATAAGGCCATGGGTGGGGATTGTATCAGCACATTGGGAATGGGAGGCAGGTGCACTCTGTCAGCACGTTATAGGAAGCACACCCCTCCATCAGACAGACATGTACCATTGAGGAGGACCCGGGGCTGGGCCTGGAGCTGTAGTTGCCCACCTGAGATGCCCATCTAGAGAGACCTCCACTGCTGGACCTGGCCCACCTCCTTCCGAGCCAAGGCTGAGAATGGGGGTGGGGTGGAGTTACTTGGGAGTTGTTGCTGGTCAGAAGCCTTGGGCCTTAGTAGCCTCAGCTATTGGTCAGCACTGCCTATGGGGGCAGCCTGGAACCAATTTAGGAGATTACACTCCAATGTTTACTGCCAGAACAGTAAAGGATGCTTGACGTATGTGTATGTGTGTGTGTGTGTGTGTGTGTGTGTGTGTGTGTCCTGCTGGACGCTTTCAGAAGTCTTCTATCCCCTCCCTCCTGTTTCCCTGTAGGAGACAGACCGTGACCAGCACTCCCTGCTGGATCGAGCTGCACCTGAATGGGCCTCTGCAGTGGCTGGACAAGGTCCTCACCCAGATGGGCTCCCCCAGCATCCGCTGCTCCAGTGTGTCCTAAAGACGCTGGGGCAAGGGGAGGGGAAGGGGTTGCGCCAGGACAGCGCCCGTGTGGAGGTCAAGAAAACTCAGAACTCTGATCCATCCGTCAATCGTTGTCAAGGATGGACTTTTTGGTCTTCAGGTTGCACCAGCCTGTTTCCCGAAATACAGAGATGAGCCGAGGTGACCTGCTCATGAATAAGTGCCATCGTGTCCACTGAACTCACTGCCCTGCGGCCTGGCTTGAAGGATGAGGCTGGCTTCTGTTTGGACAGGGGAGGGGGGGCATTGAGTATGTAGGTGGCTTTTTGCCACCTGCCCATCCCCTGCCACTTCCTTTTCTTTATGTCAGTGATGTGATTGTCACAGTTCAGCAGGAAGTGCTCCTCAGAAGATTGTTGCTAGGAAGCGGGCAAAGCCTTGTGGTGAGGAGGTGGTGTGAGAAATGGGCAGGCTGTCTGCCTCTTTCCCAGTGCTCTAGATCAACTGGGCTCTCCCAGCTGGGCACCCCCATCCTGCAGACCCTGTTCCTCCTAAGCAGGGCTGATCTGAGATTGCAGAGGGGGCTCGTCCAGCTCCCTCAGCTCTTAGGATGACGGGTGATGTGTTTAGTAATACCGCACACACGATGGTGGGCCAAGTTGGGGAATGACATCTTCTCCTTGAAGAAATTCTCTTCCATGTGTCCTTTTTCACTTGGAAAAGCTGGAAGGATCTACTGACGCTTGGTGCATATGCAATGTATGGTTTCTACGATTGCATTAATCTCAACGAGATGTGAATGACGTCAAGTGTGTGGAGCAGGCGATGTTGGGGGCTGAGATGGCCCTGCCCTGTGTCTGCCATCATCAGGAACAGAGTGTGTGCTGTGTCCTGATGCACACAGCTGCATTGGTCCATGCAATCCATCGCATTGATTTGACCCACTTTATTGTATGCCCTTTGAAATGTGTTTCATATTAAGAAAAATTAAACGGGAAACCATGGGGGTTTCTAGGTCCCAACAAATGCTGTCCCAAGAAGCGTCTCCAGGCCCAATAGAGGAGGCACCTGTCTGCATTTCTGGAAGCTGACATTTACAAGAGCAAATGCACCAAAGCAGTTGAGGGGGAACATCTTGGACCAACACAGGCCAAGGCAAAGGGCTGTTAGAGTTGCTTCTCGCTACCGGGGACTGCAGGTTCCATGCCAGGTCTGTCCTTTCTGGCCATCTAGCTCCCTGCAGAGGATCCTCTCAGTGTCAGCCTTGGTGGTGAGGCTGTGAAAGTGCTGCTCCCGGTGGCTCCCCTCCACGAGCATCCATTATTTCAACTGGAAAAAATAAAGAGAGCCTCTTCTTTTGCAGAATGCGGCAGACACAATTGTCACCTGCAGTTGGTACCTTTTACTTTGCTGCTGTTTTTTGTTTGTTTGTTTTTAAATGAAATGATGTATCCCATATTCTTGCATGGATTTATACCAGGAAAAAAATTAACAGGGATTTCCTGTGGAAGTCCTGTCTTACTTAACTCCAGGTGAAGGAAGTGTGGACTTTGGGCAGGCGCTGAGCCTCCACTGTGATAAGACTTCTGATGTTTCTGTGAGGTTGCTGGGGGTCTCCCCATGCTGGATCCTGTGTCCCAGGAGAGCTTGCCTTGAGCTTTCCAGGCTGGACAGCCACTCCAAAGTGCTCCCTTTCTCCACACCCAGGGACAAGGACACAGCAGGAACACCTAGCCATCTTCTCATGGAACTCAAGACTCCACTTCCTTGGAGGAGGCTGATGTGTGCGCCTGGCATGACATGATCTGTGGACACAGGAAGACCCCTTCACCCCCAAACCACCTGCTTGTGTGTTTTGTGCTCCCATTTGGCACCCAGGACACGAGTGTTCCACTCTGACAAGTGGGGCAGCTGTGGCATTCTCCTGGAAGCCGTGGGCAGTGACTTCCGAGGGTCGGAAGTCTGCTGCTGATGCCATCCCATGAGGGCTTCTGGCAGTGCACAGCCGTCCTTCCTTCAGGCGCGGCCCAGTTCTGTCCTGTCCATCCTATGGTCACACCTGGCTGCATGTGGGTGATGTCTTAGAACCCTCAGTGCTCAGAGCAGAAGGCTACTTGCTAGGAGGTAGGAGTGTTGCGTTTTCTGACCCTTGTCTTTGTTGGGTAGCCCCCCATCTCCCGGGGGGAGGAGGGTGTGTGGCATTGCTGGCAGGCCAATCGTGAGCAATGCTGCAGAATTGGCCACATTCAGACGTTAGCATGTGGGGTTGTCACCAAAGCCTTGTGTGGGTGCTTTGGACACGTGTAACAACTGTCCCTTCCTTTAAGCCATCAAGCTTGTTAGTTTTAAAATCGTGTTGTATGAAAGACATTGATATTTGCGAAGGACAGCTGACAGGGGCAGGAGGGAACCAGAGCAGTTTCAGAGGTGGGCACTAGATAGTAGCTGGCCCTGGCAGCCCGGCCGTGTTTGTTGTCCTCTGGCACCTGTCCCAGGTTCCCTGCCATGATGGCTTCACACAGGGACTGGTGCTGACACGGAGCCCTGGTCTTTAGCACTCTCAAGGAGCCAACTTTTATCCCCTTTGCTCCCTCAAAACACCCCCCTTCTCTCCAGCCCTTTATTTAGTAACGTAGATCTTCCCAGCGCATGTGTAGGTTAGCCACCCTGGCTGGTTTGGGTTTCAAGCCTGTGTTGGCACATCATCTCGGTTGGCCACCTTCCTGGCAGACTGCAAAGGACCTGATGTTTGAGATGAGCCTGGAGCCGCTGGTGGGGACTTGGGATTTCTCTTGGGACGAGCACATGTGAGGGCCAGGCTGCCAGCAGACTGTTCTGTTGCCCTGATGTCATCAGTGTTGTGTTTACTGATCATGGTAATTTCTTTTGTAAATCATTGTGAACTCTGAAGTGAGCCCATAGCACACAGCGTGTGCTTAGTTTTTCTCCACTGCCCCTTGACTTCCTCGAGTTTGGCTGTATTCCAGGGTTCAAGGCTTTCACTCACACCATTGAATTTTTTCAAGTGGGGTGTGTGTGTGTGTGTGTGTGTGTGTGTGTGTGTGTGAGAGCGCAGGCATGTGCATGCATGCCTGGCGAGCATGGACTGGAGTGGTGTGGGGAGATGATTGTCATGCTTGGCCCCAAGCTGCTATTGCTGCAGCACAACTCCCAAGGGGTGGCTCTCTTTAGTCCTGGAGAGGAGATGCTGGGGAGGGAGCCAGCAGGTTGCCTGCAAGGACTGCTGACAGCAGGGGCTGCCCAGAGCAAGGCAGGCTATGGGTTTAGGTTGAGGTCCTGTTCCTTACTGTATGCCTTGAAGTTGGGAATTCTAACATGACACATGTCCTCAGCAAGGAAACTTCAACTGACACAGCTGAGTTAGACCACAGTGGAAGGTCTCACCCCCAGCCCCCCAACCCCAGCAGCAGCCTCAACCTGGTGGGGGGAAACAGAGAAATACCCAAAAGACCTGGAGAAAAAACAGCGAGGCATCCAGGAAGGGAGTGGTGTGCCATCCAGCTACTGCACAGGCCAGACTGGAGTGAGAAATCCTGTCACTGCATCTTTTATAAAGTTCCCAAGTGATGAATACTCCAGTACTCAGAGGAGTGACATTTTCTTAAAATGACTCAGACAACTATGTAAGTTTCTTAGAGCAAGTTGCAGGGGTGCCCCCTCATGAGGGCAGCAGCCGTGAGTTGAGCATGGCCCTTTGGGGGTGTTGGTAGGTTGGGAGAGCAGCCAGAAACTCCCCCTGAAGTTAAACACGGGGCAGTGTGGAGTCCTGCCCATGCCCCCCACAGGGTTCTGTGAGCCAAGCCCCACTCCCTTGCCAGGGGCTGCAAGCTGCACAATGTGCCAGGCCATCCACATCCCAGGAGCCTTCACTAGCTTTGGTTGCTGCAGCTGCCAAACTGGGTGGTTTTGGACTGTGCTGGGGTGTGCCAGGGGAAGGGGCGGGCAGGGTGCAGGTGACCCTTGCTCTTCAGGCAGCCTGACCTTTTCAAGTCTTTTGTAAAAAGCATGTATGTATTTATAGTATTTTAGATTTTTCTAACTTTTGTATCCTAAAAGTAGAGCACCTGTTTGTTTAAGCATTGTACCCCTTCTTGTTAAAGATATGTCTTCTGCCCTCCTCTTCCTCTTGTTGGTGCCCTTTTAATAAACTATTCTCATTGAAAAGCTGCCACTGTCTCAGGGTGGAAGGAAGAAGTCTGACAGGTGGTCGGGGAGGGGACTTGGAAAAAAAAATGTAAGCCTTGGTGTCCCCTGACCAATGATGTGCCCAGCCAGCTTGGTCCATCACCCTCACATCCTCACCCAGCTGGCCACTTCCTCAGTGCCAGGAGCTCCTGGGTCAATGTGCACATGCCACACATCTCCCTGGGCACATTTCCCTCCAACTCCCACATCTAAATGCTGCATCTGTCCCAGCAGTGCCATCTTTGCAATGCCACTGGACATTCATTTGGCAATGACTGAAGGCCATTACCCAATCTCAGGTCCTGCTGTCTCTTGCTTCTGCTAGTCCTCTGTTAGCCGGTCTTCTGTGTAATGTCATTGTGTCATAAATGCCCCCGGGGTTGGGTCCTATCAGAATTATTTAGGAAATTAAGAAATTAAAAAAAAAAAAGTACTTTTGAGTGGATTACGGCACAAGATGACCCAAATGTAAAATACCACTTTGTCCATAGGAGTTTGGGGGTGGGAGAAACGGGCCCCTCTGCAGCCCCGCCTCCTCCCAGGGCCTAATGCCGGGACAGTGGGCACCAGGACGCCTCGAGAGTTGCCCTCCATGAACTAGAGCCACCTCCTGCTTTGCAGATCATTCTCTGGTCACTTTTCCCACCCTTCTTGCATACTTTGTGGACTCTTAAGCAACATGTCATCTTGAATCCAACTGGCTCCTGGGGCTCCATATTTTAAATACCAACTACCTGTTCAGTGTGATCTCAGCTGGGCTGTCTTCTCACCTCGCTTGCACCACTTCCTTTACCGTCTGCCCAGTAGTGGCCTGTTCTCCCACTTGCACAGCCATGCTTTCTCTGCTCTGTGGGTGCAGAGTGCCCCTGCTGACATGATCTCACTTCCTGAACTCCCTGGCACCTGCTCTCGGTCTGCACCTCTCCTGACTCCCTCTCCCCACATTCTCATGCACCACCCGTCTATGGATCACTCACACTCTTTGCTCTGCTTGGAATGTTAACCCCTGCTCCCCCGGCTCCCAGGCCCTTCTGCCACATTTCCATGGTCTGCCTGGCCAACACTGGGCCACTCAGTCTCTAGGATGCCTTCCTGGGTATCACCAAGGTCCCTGATGAGGTGTTAACTGCTGGTGGCTTGTCCCATCTAGGCTGTGAGCTTGATTACATTTTAACTATCTCTGGCTTCTTTGTTTTGCTGAACAGAAGATTCAATCTGTGTCCATTTGCGTCTATTTTTCTAAGGGTTCGGCCCTGTAGTAAAAACCAATGAAATACCACCAAAAAGTTTCTTTTTACAAGAGCAGTTTCTGCAAAATTCTCTCTCTCCAGTCCAGGGACAGTTCATATGTGGAAACATGACCATCATTCTTTATGATGGAACTTCCAAAGAGTTCATGGGAAATGGAATGAAAAGGTAAGTTTGGGGCAGATGTTTGGCACAGCCATTAAAATGCCCGGGTCCCATACAGAGGACCTGGGTTCCAGTCCCGCCTCCAGCTCCATGCCAATGTAGTCCCTGGGTGGCAGCTTAAGTCCCTGCCACCCATGGGGACATCTACATTGAGTTGCCAGGTTCAAGTTTAAAATAGTGGATGGGAGTGCGAGCTGTGCATCTCAAATATATGAGGAGAGTGAAGGTCTCCAAAAAACTCATGGAAAATGCAAACTATGGAGAAGTTGCAAGGATTTCAAAACAGTTTTGCACCAAAGTAAACATCTTGCCAAACTGTATTTTCCCATGGAAATGTTTCTCTATTCCTGTAGGAAAAAACAAACCAAAAAAACCTAATCACAATGTTGGATCCACTCTCAGCCTCAGAATCCTCCTCAACACAGCTAACAGGTGCTACTAATACAGCTCCAACTTTCCTGGGATAGCATTAGGGCTCAATTCCTTTTCTACCATAAAGTCTTCAGCTCAGTCATCACCTCCGGAGCAGATGAGACCTCAACACCATGTGGTACTACCAGGACCCCTCCACCGTCACTCTGTCTCTACCTCCACACCACTTCTGTTAACTGAACCGCTTAGGTATTCCCAGTACATTCCTATGTCTTATTTCCATACCTCATTCATGCCATACCATCGCGCTTTTCAGTACCATTATGAAACAGCTGAGGCAGGCTAGCTTTAATACAAGGTTCATTTAGCTCTCAGTTCTGGTGGCATTGGCTCAGCTTTACATTTCAGCAGGAATGTGTCGGGGAAGAGGTCACATTTTACACCAGGGAGCCAGAGCAATGGGTCCCATAGTCCCTTCCAGGGGCATGTTCCTAGCTGACCTGAGGAATATCTCAGCTCTGCTTCACAGGGGTCCTTCCTCCCAGCTCTACCACACTGAGGCTCTCCATATACCAGCCTTTGGTACATAGGAACCAGAACACCAAAACCCACCCCAAGATGCTGCTCGCCACCCTCCCCATCACTACACACACCTGTCCAGACTCCTGATCCTTCCAGGTCAAGTGAAGCATCTCTCCCCGAGGCAGCATCAGTGTCATGGGAACATTGGAAAAGCATGTTTTCAAACCTTCCCCAGACCTCCTGGGACAGAGATGACGGGGCCACTCCTCCGCGTGATCCTGATGCCTGATGTGGGACCAGTCTGAGGACTGCGACTGTCAGATGTGCTCTGTGCTCTCCCCTGCCCATACTGCTCTCTTCTTCCCACAGGACACAGGCTGGTTGCTAGGCTGTTCTTTGGGACCCTGTCCTGCTTGCTCCCCCACTTTTACCTGAGTTGAACTCTAAGCTCCTGGGCTCCAGCCTGTGTCCTCCACCACACTTCTCCCAGAGTCTGGCCCCAACAAGGCTTGCAAAGAGCATGCATCTTGCCATGGCAAGCACCCAATAGAAGGAACAAGGTTAACATGCACTTGACCATTCATGGCTTTCTCAAGGTTTCCTGGGGAGGCAGGATTGGCATAGATAGGCCTTCAGACTTCAGGTTCAAAGAATTTCTGCTGTTTCCATAAAGCTTCTAATAAGAAGCAGGGAGGGCTTACTCAACTAGCAGGGAGAGCCTTATGCGACCTGCTTCTGTCTCCTGGCTTGGCAGCTGTGGGAGCCAGGCAGAATTTTAGCCTATTGACAGATACACACAAAAGGGTTTTCAAAGGCAAACGTTCTGGTCTTTCCCCGGCCCTTGACTTCCACCCTGCCAAGATTGTGCTCCAAAAATGCAATCATGACCACGAGGGCCAGGATCTGAGTCAATGCTTCCCCAAAAGTAAACAAAAGAACTGTGCATTGCAGGGAGCTGGAACTGTGCAGCAGCTCAGCCATGCTCCAACTGAGGATCCCCAGGCTGCAGTGACTTCTGTTCATCAGAGGGACTAGTGAGGATCCAGAGAGATTTCCAGAGACCTCCATTAGCAACAATGCCTGCCTTGACGTCTGTAATAGGCATGGACAGTGCCAAATAATGCTAAGGCCCTTTCTGCAAGAACTTACATGCTAGCATAGAACAGCAAGTAGAATCTGTCAAAAACCAGTTTGCTTGTTTTTTTCTCACAGCCAGCATTCTGTTTTCACACAACACACAAATTAGAGAAAAATTAGGGTAGTGCTTTCCAACTGACCTTGTATAAAGGCAGTTCCGAGCCCAGTGCACTTGACAGATTTTCATGCATTCTCTAGCCTGTTAACATTTGCTATTTAATAATCTAATGCCATCGCTCAATTATCTCTTGTGAAGTTTTTGGAAGTTGAGGAGCAAATCTAACTCAATGGAACCACCATAAAAACTCTGCCAATATCAATCAGAACACTCAATGAATAAGAACTCCTGACCACACTAGTCACACAGATGCTACAGTTAGCATTATGTCAGCAAATGCTCAAGTTCAGAAAAATTCAGAGCTTTCATCTTGCCCGTAGACAGTGATTCTTCATGATTGTTTTTCCACGGCAGATCAAGGAAGGGCGATGGGCTCTCCTGGTGGCCACGGTCAGGTGGCTGGTCCAAGGTGAAAGGAATCTGACAAGCTGTGGCAAAGATGTCCCTCCCGACCTCTCCACACTGGGAAAATGAAATTAGCCATATATCACAGTTCACATGTTATTAGTTTGCAGGGATGCCCTGACTTACATTCCTGCCGTGGTCCTTGAATCCCAAATTACTCACCCCTCAAAGCCTAGCTTCCCTGACTCTATCTCCTCTGCATCTGATGTGGCCAAGCTTTATAAATACAAACACACCGGTTCTGTCAATCTTCTCACACTCTGGCAGGATGGCATCTTCAAAAAATTATAAAAATGCCTGGTTTTAGCACTCTAAAATAATTACCTAACATGGTTTTCTTAGGGAAAAAATATTTATTTTTGTTGTTTCTTATCTTCCAACATTCATGAATTTTGAAATTTTATGGTCATAATCGCTGGTCACAAACCATACTTTCCAACAAAAAATGAAGGGCCTACTATGAGCCAAAGGCTGTGATGGGCCAATAAAGTATGTTTCAGGAAAACAAAAAGCCAAGTCTCTTATGTTAAATCCCAAATGGCTGGTCCATAGCAGCATCACACAGTCGCTTTTGATAAACTCCAAGTGTCACTGCAGTCTTAGTTCACAGTCACTTTCTTGACACGGTTTTTAGGCACACCATAACCCCATGTGTCTCCAGTATCCCCAAGCAGCTGAGAGCTTACAAACATGAGTTGCAATTATAAATAAGCATGGTGAGTTCCCAAAGAGCAGCCTGACCGCTCTTAAGACAACAACATACATGTCTAATCCAATGGGAGATGGATTGCTTTTCCTCCTTGACTAAAAAGCCATAAAACCTTAATAATATACCTCAGCTGGCTTCCTGAAGAATAATCATTTTAGGGCCTGGCACAGTAGCCTACTGGCTAAAGTCCTCACCTAGCATTCCTGGGATCCCATATGGACAATGATTTGTATCCCACCTGCTCCATTTCCCATCCAGCTCCCTGTTTGTAGCCTGGGAAAGCAGTGGAGGACAGCCCAAGGTCTTGGAACGCTACACCCACTGGGAAACCAGGAAGAGGCTCCTGGCCTCAAACTGGCTCAGCTTTGGCCATTGCAGCCACTCAGGGAGTGAACCAGTGGATGGAAGATCTTTCTCTCTGTATCTCTTCCTCTCTGTAAATCTGCCTTTCCAAAAAAAAAAAAAATCTTTAAAAAAATAAAAAAAGAACAATCATTTTAATCATCTGGCTTTGTTTAATCCCTACCCAACTATATAGCCTAAAAGTCTTCTTAAAATCTTACATGTTCGAAGAAAAACATGTTCCTTCTTTCATTTTGTAACCTCAGGGCCCAACTTCCCTTAATAGACTTAATCAATGGCTAATGCAATCACTTTAAAGAAACACCAATAGGATGGAGGTGGACACAAACCTTCAGGACAGTTAAAAAAAAAAAAGAGAGAGAGAGAGAGAGGAAATAAAACCAAACAAGTGTCTGCCCCCAGAGTGCCCTTTACTGAATGCTCCACCCTTTGCCATGGCTCCTGCCCAAAGTGGCGCCAGCAGGACCTGGGAACATTCTACTGCTTCCGTCATGCCTCTGGTTCTACAGTGCGCCAAGGGTGGTCCCAGGAGGGGGTAGGCACCTTCCTTGGGAGCATGCCATGTGAATGGGTTGAAGCTCGCATTAGGCCTGGGAGCCAGCACCATCCATCCACAGGACTCTGAATCAGGACAGGGGGCGGGCGGCTCAGGAAAGAGTAATGATAGGCACTAACCAAACATCCACAAAAACAGAAATGGGACCCTTGTTTGCTCTACTTCCCCTCTGGCAGTTGCTTTCTCTGGGGTCAACCTGCTCAGACCTGGCAGGGTCCAGAGCGCATGGGGCTGCAGGGTTGGAAGGACTGAGACGGTCTGCCTTCACCGGGAGCACAACAAGGTGTCTAACCCTTCACACCTTCACCCACCCGCTAAGCGTGGCTACTCTGGCAGTGATCTTCATTTGGCTTTCAAAGAGAAGCAGGGCCATCTGCCTTGTTCTGCGGGCATACAGGGTGACAACACAGCTTCGGCCTGTGCAGCAGTGCAAGAATAAGGTAAGGGAGTTTCTTCACGACAGCGGGAGAGCAGCACTTCGGCCTCTGATCACGTTCACTGTGTGGCCCACCAAGGATTCCTTAAGGTTCTCGCTCCCTCCTGTGCACAGCCACATACCATCAGAACTCGGGGGGGTGGGGGGGCGCAGAGAGGGACTCTGTGGGAAACCTCGGCCTTGCTCACTGCCATCTAAAAATCCACATTGGTTTTCCAATTTATTTTTCTAGCATGAACTCAGACACCGCACTTCAAAAGAAATATCCAAGCCGCAGTGTTTCACTTAGAGACTAACCTGTGGGCTGCCACCTCGGGGCCCCCTTCCTCATCCCATCCTATGTATAGCACATGCCATATCTGCAGCTGCGGAAGCCTCCCGGCTCACAGCACAGGCTCCTCCGGTGGGGAGAATCTCCACACACCTGCTGAGCTGCAGGAGTTAGGTGTCAGAGGTTGACAAGGAATGGCATGGCAGTTTTCTTCTAACTTGGGTAAACCACAGAGACCTCTCGGGTCTGTTCTATTTCCATTTCCAGAACAAAGAAGAATACCAAAGGAATCCTCCCTCAGTACTGTCATACTCTTCGGTCCTTTTCAGTACACTGAGAAAGACTTCCCCTTTGCCCCCTACTAAGGACTTTAACGGCCCCAATAATTAAGGGGGGGGGCCTGTCTACATGATCATGGGAAATCCAGCAACACAGAACACAGCTGGGCGGGGTATCTCAGGTGGGGAATGCTAGCTTCGTCATGAGTTAAGACCCTAGGGGCGACTTTAGTGCTCTTCATCAGAAGAAAGGCCTTCAATTTCATCTCTGTCTCCCCCAATTGCCATCCAGAAAGCTTTCGCTACCTGTGGAGAGAAGCAAGCAACAGAGTTTAGGCAACAGCTCAACTTGAGCTCAATTTGTGTGCCACAACTTGAACCTTAAATTCTACCATTTCTCCTCCATCCCTCCCCCCCACAACATACATCAAAACCCTTAAAGGTCCTCTCCTCCTCTTTATATTAAGGGTACAAAGAGCTGTATGTGAAGGTGATGTGTAAGGAGAGGCAGAGCTTCAGTATTTATAGAAGAAATGCATAAGGCCTTGCTGTCTAAAAGGGAACTAGATAAACAAATTATGACATTCATATAACAGAATGCCATCAACCATATAAGTTTCCTGCCAAGAACACGTGTTGCGATGGTAATAGCAAAACAAAACAACTGAAGAGTTTTCCAACCCAAAGTCAGGAAGGCAAACAGCCTAAGTCTCAATGAAGGCTCTGCTACATTCAACACACATTCGAAAAAAATCTCGGTTTGCCTGTAGCAACTGCTTGACTGCTGTATAAATATTTAATCAGCCATCAGTTAACTGAAAGGTCACAGGAGGACCTGCTAGAAGCACATAAGTGTGATATGTAGTTATTGCATGGAGCTCAATAAATACCTCACTGATTGTCTCACCTTTTCTGCATGCAACTTTCTTTGCTCGTGAGGCAGCGTCGCAGCCTTGTCTAGGGGGAAAATATATCTTCAGAAATTTGTCTAAGAGCACAAGACAAGCTGGAGTGTATGGGTGTCCTAATCCCAGAAGGTGGGAGACAGGTTTCAAAGAAATATGTTTATAAGGAACAGAGTTGGTTATTACAGCTATTAGAAAGCTTAAACTTTCCCGGCAGGATGTACAATTATATATAGGGGATCTATGTTAAGGAGATACACAAAGAAAGAAGCAGGGGGAGGCGACAGGAGAAAAAGTTAAGAGGAAAGAGAGTTGAGAAAGGAGAACTCTTCCCAGACCACTTTTACCAATAGAAGATGGCACAGTCCCCAAGTAGGTACGTGTCACAAGACAGCTAAAGTACAGAGCTCAGACTCCAATCTAGTAGGTACAAAACAAAATCCCACTACATAAAATAGATGAACATCCATACGGGAACATGCTAGCACACAAGGCATCTCTTACCTTTCATTTCCTTTAACTTTGAAAACAGTCGTTCAAAATTGTCCAAATCTCCTCCTCCCGTAGTAAGACTGGCTAGTTCTTGAATATCCAGATCTAACATGGGGTCTGAAATAAGCATTTGTCACATTATTTTTTTCTGTGCCAAACCCCAAACATGTAAGGCAATCCACACTAGGCAGGCTGAGAGCTGCCAAAGGCTGAGTACCCGATGGGAACCAGCTGTGCAGCTCCTGGTGCCTTGCCCTGCTTGATCCTTTCAGCACAGTGATGTGCTAAGGAGTTTGTCCATGAACTACAACCCAGAACTAGATTAAATCTATTCTGCAGGCCCATCTGCCCTTGCTTTAGCCACTGGAGGCGCTTCCACAAAGATGGTTTCTGTGTCTTCTCAACATGTCCCAGCTCTTCTCGGAGCCACTTCTTTCTTCCTAATACTAGGAGATGCTGCAGGATCACCTGAGACCTGGATGCAAACACTTCTCAAGGGGTCCCAACTGGAAGACCCAGGTGAAGCTCCTGGCTTCAGCTTGGCCCAGTCCTAGCTACTGCAGACAACTGGGGAGTGAACCAGCAGATGGAAAATCTATTTTTCCCTCTATAACGCTGCCTTTCAAATAAACAAAAATTTTAAAAGAGAAAACCATGAGTTCATACTGAAGAAATAAAGGGCTCATCCCAGCCTTCCTCGTTTTATTTATGCTTCTTCTCTAATTTACCTGTATATATTTTTCAGTTTCTCTATATAATTATTTTTCATTTATAAATATAATTTCAAAATTGCCAGGCCATACCCCGTGAGAAACATTTATTAGGCAGAATTTTGTATTTGCAGCCAGTTCTTTTTGCTTTTGGTCCTAAGAGATCCACTTTGATTTCTGTTTCAAATACACTTACGGTAATTTTTATCTTCCCCACTCCTTCAGTGTGATGAGGGTTTGTTTTAATGGCAGAGACTTTTTTTTTTTAAAGATTTATTTATTTTATTCTTATTATTTTTTTATTGGAAAGGCGGCTATACAGAGAGGAGAGACAAAGAGGAAGATCTTCCGTCCAATGATTCACTCCCCAAGTGAGCGCAACGGCAGATGCTATGCCAATCCAAAGCCAGGAACCTCTTCCGGGTCTCCCACGCGGGTGCAGGTTCCCAAAGCTTTGGGCCGTCCTCAACTGCTTTCCCGGGCCACAGGCAGGGAGCTGGATGAGAAGTGGGGCTGCCAGGATCAGAACCGGCGCCCATATGGGATCCCGGGTGTGCAAGGCAAGTACCTTAACCACTGTGCCACCACGCGCCGGGCCCGGCAGAGACTTTTTAAACTGGGAAACAATAGGAATGCCCTGGTGTGGTAGCCTAGTGGCTGAAGTCCTCGCCTTGCACACACCGGGATGCCATATGGGTACCAGGTTCGTGTCCTGGGGGCCCTGCTTCCCATCCAGCTCCCTGCTTGTGGCCCGGAAAAGTAGTCAAGGTCAACCCAAAGCTTGGGAGACCTGGAAAAGGCTCCTGGCTCCTGGCTTCAGATCAGCTTAGCTCCAGCTGTTGCAACCACTTGGGGTATGAATCAGTGGATGGAAGATCTTCCTCTTTGTCTCTCCTCCTGTCTGTATATCTGTCTTTCTGATAAAAACAAATAAATCTTAAAAAAAAAAAAAAGATCTAATGGGAAGGATTCAGTTGAGAGGATAAGGTTGCATAAACTTTAGAGGGAAGGAGTTCACACACATTTATTTTTCTTTAAATTTTCTGCAACTAATCACTTGAGTTTTCTACATGAGTTACCCTAAAATCAGGAAAAAAAAAAAGCTTTACAATAGCTTTGCTGCACACGTGCCCTCTCTGACAACACATCAGCCGTTTGCAGTAGAAGAAAAGCAACAGCTACTCAGCTCCCTGTCCACTCAGCTCCCTGGCTTTGCAGCTGTGAGTAGCAGAGGGCATCCCGGTTTAGGTTACAGGTGCTGGATGTCACTGGTCAATTTATTAAACTTCTCTTAATCACCAAAAATAATGTCTCTGCCAAATTAAAACAGGAGAAAAGTGGATATAAAAGAACTTTTAAAAGGATGTGAAAGGGCATGCATACACTACTACTACTCTTGTGACCATCAGTTCTGACTGCTAACCACTACAAAGAAAGCAACAGATGCAAAGCTGTGAGGCTGTTTCATGACCCGCTTGTGTCTTTGCTGGGACCATCTGAATCAGGATCCTGCTGAGACAAAACAGTGCCTGCAAGCTCTGCGAAGCGTGTATTCCTCCCTTTTGCTCTGACAGCCATGCAGGCTCACGTTCAGTTGGCACACTCCATCAATTTTCTTTCCCTCCTCAATGATGAACTGCTCGTGTGCCTACACCAAACTGATCTGAGAAGGGACTTCTTCCTCGCCAGCCTGAGAAGGGCCTTACCCACAAGGCTTTCCACCGGGGCACTTGTAGCGTTCGATGTGGCACCCCGATGATCCGAGAGGGGTTCGGTCCTGTCTGCTGCAGGCAGGTGGGGCTGCTGTGGAGAAGAGCACACATGAGGCACGGACACGGAACAGGCTCGCTCAGGCCTATTCCCAACGGGCTCAGGCTGTGGCTCCTCAGCTGGCTTTATAGGCAATAATAGGCACGAGGCATGCAGACAAGAAGGAAGGTGCAAGATCACATAAAAAAAAAAAGGTTGAAAATTCACTCACTGGGGAGTACTGTCCCTCCAGGAAAAACTAGGAAGGATTATGGTTTTGTTGTAGAGTGCTACATTTTTTTTTCTTAACATCCATGTTATATTCAAAATGTGAGGGGGCAGATGATATGGCTCAGTGGGTTAAAGCACTTTGAGAAAACCACATCCTGTATCAGAGTGCCCAGTTCAGGTCTGGATTATTCCATTTTAGAACCAGCTCCCTGCTGAGGCTCCTGGGAAGGCAACAGATGGTGGCTCATGTACTTGGGTCCCTGCCAACTATGTGGAAAACCCAGCTGGAGTTCCAGGATCCTGCCTTTGGTCTGGCCCAGTGCTGGCAGTTGCAGATATTTGGGGGAGTGAATCAGTGAATGAAACATTCTCTCCCTATCTCCCTCTGCCTTTCAAATATATATCTGTATAAATCTAACATAAAAATGTATAGCTGGTGAAGAAAAAGTCCCTGGAAAGACAATGGAGTGCTATAGAATGTGCTCTTGGTTTCAGCATGCTGACCAGGTCAATTTGGACCAATGTCCTTGAGGTAGAAGACTGAAATCAGATCGTATGCTTGTTCAGGGTAGGGGCCTGGGCTCGGATTTCTACAGGACCTTGTACACAGGAAGTAGTACTTAAAAAAAGAACCATCAATTTTATTTTCTATTCAAAGATCTGGATGTAAGTTTAAGCTTTAGGGATTCCCAACATTTTCTTTCTTTTCTTTTCCGTTTTTTTTTTTTTTGAACAGTGCCCGACCAATAAAACGTGAATCAGCCCAGACTGCAGACATCTTACAAGGACTCACTGGCTTAGCTAAAACTAGCCTTCTTCTCTCAACAGGTACCTTGGCCTAACAGGGCTGTGTCAGGTTTCCCTTTCATCTATTTTTAATATTCTTGGTCACCTCTTACATGGAAAGGAAAAAATGATGCATGTGTTCAGACTCATGACGATGAAACATGAAAGTCAAAAGAACAGCAGAAAAAAATAAGGCCTTACCCCTGAGCGACAGGTCTCTGTGGACTCAAGGCCATGGTTTGTTCCCGCCAAGGAGTTGAGAAGACTAAAGCCTTGGTTCCTATCTGGAGAGAAAAACACAGCACATTTTTTTTTTTAATTTATTGCAAATACATTTTTGTAAATAAATTTTCTCATTAACTGTAAACTCAAATATTGTAAATCATTAACAATGACTGTGATATTCATGAAACAAGGCTATTTTCTCATTATCCAGGTTCTATTAAAAAAAGTTATCAAAACTATGCATGGTACATGCTTGCAATGAAGGAATCATGACTGGGTTTGAACTGTACTACTGCAACAATGTGGAGGAATCCAATACGGAGGGAGGGCTTGGAGAGGGGTTGGGGGAATCCTAGAGCCTATGAAACTGTGTCATAAAACGAAATTAAATTAAGAAAAAAAGAAATTAAAGTAAAAAAAAAGTTATCAATACTCTCTCAATTATGAATTTTTAAAAATCACAGAATAATCCCTGTCAGTCCCGTTCAAAAACAATGGCAGGGCCATTACAGCAAACAGTGCCACCCAGGCCCTATCTGCAAAGATTATTAACAGTAGTGACATTTTACAAATGTACCAGTGTTATGAATGTTAAAAACATTTCTAAAAAATCAATACCAAGGTATTATCATGTCAAGAGAAATACTCGTGCATTTTGGAAACAAAGTTCTAATGTTGAGACACCTGAGTCCCCTGCAGCCCTGCAGTGGGGCCTCCAGCACTCAGGATGTTTGTGTTGACAGCAAAGCATAGTTCTGCAGCAGACGGCCAAGAACCCAACATAGCATTCAGCACCAGTCCCCATTGGGACCTCAGTCTCACTGGAACACAGTTCCAGGGCAGGGATCAAGGAGCTTCCACCTTGAGCAAGTACTCCAAGGAAGTCTGTGGACCAGGAAGTTTGACAAACACCATGTTAGAGAAAGGCAGGGGGCCACAGGCCCTGAGTCCACAGAATGGCAACAACACAACCTTCTCCCACCTTGGCTCTCCCTCTCCCTTCCCTTGACTCACTCACACTCCAGCTCTTTCTCTTATTTAGACTCCCAACATCCTTCCCCCAGCCAGGCAGCACCTGCTGTCAAATACTTGGTCACACACAGGCACCAGAGAAGTGTCTGCTGTGTCCTCCCTTCTCCCTCCCTGTGAGGTGTTGTTCTGTCCTTACCGGCAATGGAGCCCTCACTGTGGCCTGCTGGGCCTTTGCTGGTAGCTTTGCTGAGCCCAGCTTCTCACCCCAGGCACTCTGTGCACAGCCTAGGCCTGCCCCCTCATTGTCCAGGTGATCCCAGGCTGGTGGCATTGGAAGGCAGGACTGCCCCACAGCTCCTCATGCTACACGTCAACAGCAGCCGTGTGGTCTGGGATTCAACCATATGCTTGAAGCCCCCTTCGGCTCCTCACCCAAAACTTTGGGGTGCCCAGTTCAAAGACAGTGATCAGGTTTTCTCAAGGAAAAGCACGGAGGCTCGGAAGCTTGAGAGAAGCACGCCTGTGCCGTGTCCTGCACCAGCAGGCTCAAAGCTGCAGGATGCTTAGTCCACTCTAGCTGAGGTCTCTGTCTGCTGACCTGCAGCAGCTGAGTGCAGTTATGCGCAGTATTCAGGGATTTCAACTGTCATTGGGATCCACGTGAGTACTTAGATTTTAGATTATTTGTACAAAAAGCACAATAGCTGAGTAATAAGCTACCTTTGTAAGGCAGCCCCCAATATCTATGTCTGGAAATAACTCAGACTTTGGAGTAATTTTCACATCCAATTCACATGTCTCCATATTCCATCAAATTCGATGGCTATGTGTTTCTTGGGCTGGGCATTTCCTACACTGCAACTGATGGAGAATAATGCAGGACAAAGTTAAAGCATGCTATTAGAACTAAACCATCTATTTAAAATGTGAATTTTTAAATTTTGAAAGTCAGTTACAGAAAGAGATTTTCTATTGGCTGATTCACTCCCTCAGATGGCTGCAATGGCCAGTACTCGGTCAGGTGAGGCACTTTATCTGGATTGCCCAAGTGGGTGGCACGAGCTAAGACATGTGGGCCATCCTCTGCTGCTTTTCCCCGGTCCTTAGCAGAGAGCTGGATGGCAGGGGACCACCCATAAGGGGTGCCTGCATGGCAAGTGGTGGCTTTACCTTATATATCACAACACTGACCCCCAAATGACTAATTATAGTAGCTGCCTGCACAGGAGTTAATAGTGGGAACAAGACTCATCATGGTATACTGTCAACTTTTTCTACCTTTGATTTCTGTTCCTTGTTCATACATGACTCACGAACTCAAACTTTTGGAAAGGGAATGATCCTATGCCATGCAGTTTTACAATGAAACCCACTGACAAATGCCTCCTGTCCCAATTTGGATGGATGCAATTATGAAAAGAACAATGGGGCGAAAAGTAAGCTAGCAGCAGTCAGAAAACTTGAATTTTGGTCCTGACTCTGCTTACATGTGATCTTAAGACACACTGCTTAGTCTCCCCGAGCTTCAAAGTGCTGATCTATAAAACCCGGGGCTTAAAAGATATGGTGAAAAGCCCTACAAGTTTGTGACTTTGTGGAGTAAAAATGCATACTTTCGCTTCTTTCAGTGTTAACTTAGAATTTGCTTAGAATTTTTTTTAGAAAAATAAGAGCTTTGATTTTCAGTTTGAGTGGCACATGGCTTATAATTTTTAAGCAGTCAGAAACATAAATCTACAGTTAGAAAAATAATTCATTTTTGTTTATTCAAAGAGGCCTGCACATTAATGATGCTCAAAAACTTGGATGAGTTTTACACTATGACTTGAAGGTTTCACCTGCTTTAATGTTTCATTAAAACGCCGCTCACATGTACCCACTGTACAACTCTTCTGCTCATAGGGAAGAGTTACATAGAAAGAGTCCCTTTCTGTTTGCCAAGTTTCTGCTCCCCAGGAATCAGGACACGGACGTGTCACCCCTATGAAGCAGGAGCTGCCCCTTTAGCAGGCCGTTTTTCAAACGGGCTCTGCCATCTACGGTCACAAATTACTAGACCAGGCTGGAATAAATGAATTCATGTACTCTATTGATTTTCCTGGAACTTCAGGGATGCTCAAGTCAGAAATATAAATTTACGTAAATTAAATGATGGGAAGCACATTACTCTAGGAGGCACAATGAGTATATTAACCTGCAGTCCTATCAACAGCTGATCCAGTTTCAGTAGTCTAATAACACTGGCACCAATGGAATAACAGGTAAAATGAAAAAAAAAATGTGTGGCATTGATCATTGGCACAGACTATTCCAGGAAGCATCAGAAACAAAACCACAGCCTCCAGAATACACATTTACAACTGAGTCTTACATGGTAGGGATGAGGACAGCTGAAAAATACATATATGAAATTATATATAAAATTCTTTGGATATCTCTATCAATCTCAAGTTGCACTATTATCTTACAAATAACAAATGCATTTTACAGAGCAGTTCTGACTTATATTACATAATACATTTATAGAGCTAAAAACCTAGGCAGAAAAAGGGATAACTTTAGCCTGGGGAAAGGAGGTTTTGCTTCTTGTCTGTTTTTCCACTTAATTTTTCTGCTGTTCTCTCACTTCTCCGTTACTCATCAAGGCAATATATCAAGCAGAGAATGTGGATATGGATAATGGCATGGATTTGAATCCTGGTCCTGCCATTTACTGTGTGGCCTCACACAAGTCATGCCTCAGTTTCTACATCTTTGTTTTATGACAGTTTGCAGAATATTGTATTGAGAAATAACAGTTAAAATTTATGAAGCACTCGGGTAATGTTTTAAGAAGTACTTGATATATGACATTTTTTCAAGCCTCACAACAAAGTGGCCCCCATAAAGAGAAACCAACATTTATTTTTTATTTTATTACCCTCTTTCACAAATGATGGTACTACTCTCTCTTGAAGATTTTTTTTCCCATGATGAAACTCCCCAAAACACTTACATGACCTGTTCATAATTTCTATATCCATGTTTTGGCTTTCACTGCATTAAAAGTAGCACTCATTTGGCACTCTCTTAAGAAGTCCAAGTTTTTCTAGTTTAGTTTTCATTACACTCCTTCCTCTCCACACAAAACGCTTTTCTTTTGACATGAACATGTTCCTTCCCATTCACAGGATAAACATGACCAAACTGTACAACCACAATCAATATACTTCAATTTACACAGATTTGTATATCATACTGTCTTAGTAAAAAATTCTTTTAACCATTGCATCCGAGGAGCCAATATGGCAGCACAGCAAGTTGGGCTGTTACCTATGATGCCAGCATCCCACATGGGTGCCAGTTCACATTCCGGTTGCCTTACTTTCAATGTAGTTCCCTGCTAATGCACCTGGGAAAGCAGCAGAAGGTGGTCCAAGGGCTTGGATCCCTGCCACTCATATGAGAGGCCAGATGAAGGTCCTGGCTCCTGGCATTAGCCTGCACCCAGTCCTGGCTGTTTTGGTCATATGGGGCGTGAACCAGCAGATGGAAGATTGTTCTCTCTCTGACTCTCAATAAATAAACCCGTCATAAATTATTTCATTACAATCTGGGGGAGGTACATCGACACTACTATATTCTACTTTTGTTTGGCAAATGGAAATGAAGTGTTTTTGGAAATGATAAAAGAAGTAAAAGAAATCTATTTGTTCTTTTTACTAAACCAGAAAAGGGCAAAACATTTAAGTCTGCTACTCCTAAGAATTATTTCTGCCAATTCTCGAAAAGGTATGGAATATTACCAGGAAGTAATAAGGATAGTTTCTCATATTTTCTTTATTACAAACATGTTTAGTATAGGAAATTTGGAAGAGAGAAAGTACAAAGAGAAAAAGTACACTAAATTACCAAAGATACACGTCTTCCTGAGATGTCCACTTGTACGTACACACACACACACACACACACACACACACACATCAACATGTTACCTTTTTCATTTTGTTCAGGGATAGTGCATGCACAGAAAATTGCCAGAGGGTATTCAGATGTTTTTTTTTTGTTCCAACATATGACGCACTGGATTAAAAAAGGGCAAATCACT